AAATGTTCTATTTATACGCATTGGCTTCTCAGAGACCAATTTAATATCAAGTTTTTACATTTGGATTTGAAGGAAGCCTGAACTTGGTCTTGTTTTTAGCTCAATTTGAGGATTTAGCGCGTTGAGGTAATCTCGCCGTACAAACGATGGAGTATCACACACTCTTTCTCAGTTTTTATTCTATCGATACAGAAGATTTTGTTTTTGAGAAAGTTTCAACATTTAACGTCGGTTTCAAGTTTTTCCGTCTTTCTTTTTTTTTTATTTTTTCGTTTCTTGTGTTGCTTCTATTTTGTTGGAGAAGTAAGCTTGTTTATGTTCAATGTATGTCAACGACTTTATCAGAGCCAATAAGTTTCTAGGAAGATACGTTTATGGCTTTTTAAGCCCTCTAAATCATTCATAGATTGTTACATAAGTAATCTGCATAATTATATTTTATTTTAAGAGAGAGAGAGAAAGATCCTAGCTGCTTATCTGATCTTGGACCTCTGTTTTGTTCTTTTGCAGAATATTTCAAACATTGCTTTACATGTTCAGCAATGTTACCTAACAATGTGTTGGTTTATGTAATAACTGCAGAGATCATTGTGAATCAGAGTCAACATTTCTATTTTCCACTGTATGACTGAGCTGGACTTATTTGCTGACTTCAAGGTGATGCAACAAAGTCAATTTCTGCAGAATAGTTAAAATGTTCATATGAGAATCGGAAAGTTTGCAACCTTGCTGAAAAAAGTTTGTGTGCGTACATTACCTTTGGAGGAGTTTGCTTCTTTTAAAGGAGTTTCTGATGTAATGGATGAGGAAGAGAAGCTAGTTGATCCCCGAGCTTCGGTAATCATAGCCACAACTTCTCTCATAGTTGGTCTACTAGCCGGAGAATTGCTGGTGCAGAACAGTGCAATCTTTAGGACTAGAGACATCTCATGAACCGTTCTCTTATCATTTGTATCCAGCCTCGGATCAAACATTTCAATGGCTGGAACCATGTTACGGATTGATCTTCTAACCCAATTGACTAGATCCCCTCCTTGCTCCAGCGGTTGAACTGGGGGCTTTCCTGTTATTAGCTCCAAAAGCACTACTCCAAAGCTATAGATATCGCATTTCTCTGTCACCTTCATAGTGTAAGCATATTCTGAAACAAAGCAAAACATCAATCAAATATGTCAGATAAGCGGGTGTGAGAGAAAGAAATCTGTGATGTTTTACTCACCTGGAGCGATGTATCCATAAGAGCCAGCAACCGCTGACATGGACTTTGAGTAAGAGAGATCAATCAACTTAGCCAGGCCAAAATCTCCAACATGAGCCTGGAACAGTTCATCAAGAAGAATGTTGTTCGATTTTATGTCGCGGTGAACTATTTGAGGTCTGCAATCATGATGGAGGTAACACAGACCCTCTGCAGCGCCGTGGGCGATTCTATATCGTGCATTCCAATCCAACAAGCAGCTTTTCTCACCTCGCTGTAGTTGCTCGCCAAGGCTTCCTTTTGACATATACTCATACAAGAGAAGATTTGAGTTCTGGTGGTAGCAGAAACCATATAGCTTCACAATATTCCTGTGCCTTATCTTTCCAAGTGTTGATATCTCAGCTCTGAAGCTATTATCAGAACTAGCTCCTTCGCCGCGAGAATTTAGCTTCTTCACAGCTATCACCTCGCCATCTGACATTTCAGCTTTGTAGACCGTTCCACATGCTCCTCTCCCTAAAACCACGTCTTCGGAGAAGTTTCTGGTTGCATCCACAAGGCCTTGATATGTGAAACCTTTCTTAGGGAAATAGTAGCTGTCCATGACATCCGGTTTTGTTTGATCCTCAAGAGCAACAAATGCTGGTTCTCGCCGCTTTATTGCCCAACAGATACCAACAAAAGTGATAAGGAAAATCGAGCCGATTACAAGACAAGTGATTGTCAAGATTTTTTGCCTTTGCGAACCATTCATTAACCAATTTAGCTTCGATGCAGAATTTGGGGCAAGTTGTTGGCAATGGCTTCTCTGAGAGTTACACAACCCTCGGTTTCCAGCAAAGTTCGATGAATCCATCCGCTGGAACACTGCTGTCTCTGGTACTGTTCCTAACAAGTTATTGTTTGAGATATTGCAGATGAGGAGGCTCATGAGATTCCCAATTGAAGCAGGGATCTCACCTGAAAGCTTGTTGTCGTTGAGGTAAAGTATCTCCAACATTTGTAGATTTCCTAAACTGTCTGGAATCGTACCTGAGAGATTATTGTGACTAATGTTGAGGGAGATTTGCAGAGAGGTTAACTTTCCAAGCTCCACTGGAATGTTTCCAGACAAGAAATTGCCTCCTAGTTGTAACTCCATGAGCCGAGTAAGATCTCCAAAGCTATGAGGAATTTCGCCTGTCAAACTATTATCAGACAATTTCAAAATCTCTAAATTCACCAACTGACCAAGCTCCTCTGCTATGTACCCGGAAAACTTGTTGCCACTAAGGTCAAGCCTCTGGGTAGTGACACAACTTCCCAACTCTTTAGGGATGTGACCAGTGAGCTGATTAGAGGAGATATTTAAGCCAACAATCTTTGTGAGATTCCCAATCTCTGGAGAAAATTCACCAGTAAAATTGTTGTTAGCTAGACGCAGTCTTTCTAAATTCTTCAGCTTTCCCAGGCCTGCAGGTATATTCCCTGATAACCAGTTTTGGTGAAGCTCTAATGCAGTAAGATTCTGAAGATTAAATAATTCAACGGGAAGGCTTCCTGTCAGCCGGTTATCGCCTAACATTAGCTTTGTCAGTGACTTACAGGTTTTCAGATCACGAGGGATGTTTCCTGACAACTTATTTGAACCAAGGCTCAGAAGTATTAACTTCTGAAATCTGCAGAAGTGGGCAGGAATTGAACCAGACAGAGAATTGGAAGACATGTCAAGGACAGAAAAATTGCTATAGAAACCGATTAGAGGAGGAATAGTCCCTTCAAGCTGGTTGTCAAAAAGTTGCAAATCTACAAGGTAAGTTAGAAACTGAAGCTCTCGCGGGATAGTACCGTTTAGTCTATTGATAGACAAGTCTAGCTTCTCCAACAGTGTCAAATCCCCAAGCTCCCTAGGGATTGGACCTTCAATAATGTTCTCAAAAAGATGAAGTAATTCGAGATTCAGGATCTGGCCAAACTCTGTCGGGATGAAACCTGTTAACTGATTCTCCGAAAAATCTATCTCAACTGCATCTGTCAAGTTGCCTATTTCATGAGGTATCTCTCCGGTTAACTGGTTTGTGTAAAGGTACAGCCTTTTAATCTTTGTGAGCTTCCCAATAGCTCTTGGAATTGATCCCTTGAAGTAGTTTTCGTGGAGCGCAAGCACCTCCAGACTGGTAATGTTTCCTACGGAAGGAGGTATCTCGCCAGATAAACGGTTTTGCCAGAGTATCAGATCAGTAAGATTTTGAAGCTTCTCGAGCTGCTTAGGAAGGGAACCCTCAAGAAGATTCTCCGCTAATCCAAGTACCTTTAGGCTCTCGCATCCGCTGATTTCAGACGGAATAAAACCCGAGAACGCGTTCCGTCCTGCCCTAATGACCCGAAGCTGTCTCAATTTCCCCGTGGAAGGAGGAATTGCACCGGTGAGATTGTTGCTGTAGATCACAAGCTCTTGAAGCGAACTCAAACTACCGATTTGTCTAGGGATTGAACCGAAAAGATAATTCTCGCATAGATACAGCTTCTCAAGAGTGATGATCATTGTTAGCTGAATTGGTATCACTCCATGGAACCTATTTGTGCAGAGATCAAGAACCTCTAGGCTTCGACAGAGAGATAAATCCCGAGGGATTGGACCGGAGATGAAGTTGGTGGAGACATTCAGTTTCCTTAAACCATTAAGCTTGCATATGAGAGGAGATAGTGTACCTGAAAGATTCATCCCATTGAGATCAACAGTAGTTACGGTTCTGAGACGGGTACACGCGATTCCTGTCCAGTTGCAGGGATTTGAATCCAACTGATTCCAGCTTGCCAGATAGCCATTGGAGTCATTAAGCAGAGCTTTAAACTCCAGAAGAACACGCCCTTCTTCGTTTAAGGATCTCACAAAGATGAATGAGAAAGAACAGAGAATCGCTATTGCCAGGAAACATATCCTTCCTCTCATTTTTTTACAAGTTAGCTTTGGTAAGAGCACAGAGTGATCTCCGAACACATCAGGAAGAAACGAAAAGAATCGTAGATTTGGGGCAGCCACGGAATGGTTTTGGCTAAGAGGTCAAAAAGATTAGATTGAGATGGGGAAAAAGACAGACAGGCTTTTGACTGATCAAGAAAGACTATCAGCAAAACACTTTGGAAAGGTCTCTGTTTTCTCTGTCTCTTACAAGAAGTCAACTCAAGTTTAATTCTCTTTGTCGACGACATCGTCTCTTTCTCCGACTTGGTTCACCATATTTTTGAGCTGCAAGTGGTTTCAAATCACGTGATGGAGATCTGGTTTTGTAGTACAGATCCATTGAATAAAAATGTTGGGATCCTTTTTAGTGTTTCTCTGGGTTGTCAATAGAAGAAAACAGAGGATCTTGTTTGTTGTGACGGTGAGGATTTGATGAAGACGACACGTGAAAAAGGATGATTCAGGACAATGATCTTTTAAGTGCCCTGTTTGCTTTTTGTGTTTTAATTTCTTGGTGACGGGTGAGAAGAGAGCGTTGGAGTCTGTGAGCTCATGATTTCTATCGTTGACCGTTAAAAGCCGCGCACATACACACTCAAGTGGGGAAGTTATTGCTGTCTTTTTCGCGCCCATCTTGTCTGTTAAATTGCCACTACACCGATGTTCTCCCACTTTCTTATTTTAGGGGATAAATATTCAGAAATACCATTTCCGTGATTTCTTATTTTTATTTTTTTAATATTACCAAGCGAAAGGTTGCTCAAGTATACAGTTTTATAGCTTTATAAACATTTTATACCGCACGTTATAAAAATATTCACCAAAAATTATATAACACTAGTAGAGTTATATATAGACAATAAATAAAGGATACTTTTTGTGACTTTTTCAAGATAAATACTGTTTCATTTGGGTCTTTTTTCTTTCTTTTTTTTCCTACATCAATCAACCACATGTAGAAACATTTGCCATATACAATATGAGACCATACAAACAATGTACCAACCAAAAGGTTGTCTGACCCAAATCTTACCCTGGGGGTCTGGTTTTGTTGTTTGCCTGAGTTTCTTGGATGACTTTAGAAGCAAATCCTATATCACAATTAAACTCCAGCCTCTTCAATCGCGGCAGACATTGAAGCCGATGCTTCTTCTAGCGTTCGCCTCTTTTGAACTGCGTTAAAGGCCTCGATGATGTCTCCTTCAATCCAATCATCGTAGTCATCCATCCCAATACCACATTCTAATCCAGCACCCACCTAGAACATTATAATCAGAGTGAAAGGTTTGTATTGACCAAGTAAGAAAGACGAAAAAAAAACAGGGTTTGGTTTAGATTTGGACATATCTCAGCTCGTAAGATGGAAGTTGATAGTTTACCTCTTTCACGTTTTCTTTAACTCGTTTAAGAGAATCAAGGACACCGACATGGACAGTTTTACCCTTCCGGAGTACCCTGATGCCACAATCTTTGACAAATTTCCCTTCATTCACCATACACCCAGCCACACGACCACTACCACTGCTGAAAGTAGCCCGAACTTCTGCTGAGCCAATTGGGATTTGTTCCTATCAACAGCGACATGAATCTTCAGTTTACAAAACTCCAATAAGACTCATGAACTGAGACCAAAATCTATGTTTTATGATAATCCATGACAGAGAAATTACTTTTCAGGCTAATCAACCAAAAAAAGAAAGTTTCAGTGTAAATCTATAGAGGCGTGTTATCAGATAAGGCAATCACAAAACGGTTCCGAATTGCGTAAGAAATCAATGCTAACCTCAACAGACTCAAGAAGTCCTTCCATTGCGTTTCGCACATCATCAATAAGCTCATAGATAACTCTGTATAGTCGGATTTCAACACCTTTGTTTTCTGCATCTTTCTTAACAGAACCAGACGCTTTGACATTAAATCCAAAAATGATGGCTTCACTTGCTGATGCAAGATCAACATCACTGTTGCTCACATCCCCTGTCGCTTGTAGCAAGAATTTCAAGGTGACATTCTCCTGAGGGAGGACTTGCAAGGCTTGTCTGACTGCTTCAATCGATCCCTAGTTATCACATTGATGATTGGAATTAGCATGAATAAGAAGAGACCGCAGAAACCAAAATGTTTAAGACGATGAGCGGATGAACCAAATGGGCTCTTTACCTGTACATCAACCTTCAAGATGATATTAAGCTGATGCAAATCTAAGCCTGACATCTTTTTCGCTGATACAGCAGAAGCTAAGGAGGAAAGTGTGACCTTTCCATCCCCAGCCTTTGCAGATATTCTTTCATCTCGTAGTGATATTGCACGTGCCTCTGCCATCTCACGAGCCACATCAAGGGAAGCGACAATCTCAAATTCATCACCGGCAATGGGGACATTATTTAAGCCAATCACCTGCAAATATAATTTAGATTAAATTAGATATCTAAATCAATCCAAATATGAGAACATAGTATCAAGATTGTGCCACCAAGAAAATAAACATGAATTGCATAGAGTATTTCCATTATTGTGTATTGACGTTTAAATTAGGGTAGATTATGAAACTACAAACCTGTACAGGTATGGAGGGTCCAGCTTCATCAACTCGTCCCCCGCTGTGATCAAATAAAGCTCGTACCTAAACACAGAAACAGAGCAAGACCAAAGCAGGTAAGTTTCTAGCCATTTTATATCATCCGCACAATGCGCTTGGGGAGAAAACTAAAATTTTGGATAAACCTTTCCGAAAGCTTCTCCGCAAACAACAACATCCCCTCTTTTCAAAGTGCCCTTCTGAACAATGAATGTCGCAAATGGTCCTTTTGCTTTATCAAGTCCAGCCTCGATAACAATACCTTTGGCATTTCTGTGTGGATTTGCTTTCAACTCTTGCAGCTGAAACAGCCAAAATAAAGTCAGTCCACAGGGAATAGCTAATGAGAAGCAAAAGCAGAGACTGAGAAAAAATATGAATTGAAGCCCATATGTAAGTATAATTAGTCTATAGCCTTCCTTGAAGCAAGATTTTGTGTCCACTTTGGAGCAAGGATGCAAGTCATTTAGTAGCCACTATGTAGTACTTATGAGAAGAAAACCAAATTAAGCTTCATTATGCATCTAGCAAAAAGAAACAGAAAAATCAAGCAAACCTGTTATCATGGGATTTATAACAAACTAACCTCTGCAACAAGCATGACAGTTTCCAACAGATCATCTATATTCTCCCCTTTCAACGCACTGATCTGTTAAGGGAAAATATAGAGCATGATATTAGATCCCATGGAACATATGGACCCTGAAACATATGTGTGATGATAGTATGTATTTCAACCTGAACCATTGGAACATCACCACCCCAGTCTTCCGGCATCAAACCAATTGAAGAAAGCTCTTGCATCACTCTATCTGGACTAGCTCCTTCTTTATCTATCTGGAACAGGAAATGAATTAGACTGAGAGAAAATACATATACACAAGGTAAAGAAGAATTAACAAAACAAAAATAGTATTCTAGGTAATAATCTTTGTCAATTCCTAGATAGATGAACGCAGGTGCTACATGAACCTAATACCTTATTTATAGCTATGACTATTGGTACAGCAGCAGCCTTTGCGTGAGCTATTGCTTCATTTGTTTGAGGACGAATTCCATCATCAGCAGCAACCACAATGATTGCAATGTCAGTGACCCGTGCTCCTCGAGCTCTCATTGCCCCAAATGCCTAGATGAGCACAAGTCAGGAGAAATATTATGGTATGGCTAGCATTAGATGTGAGGTAGTCAAAAACATGCTACATGGAAAAAAGTCTCAGGGACTATAATTCAGCATCAAAAACGAACATGTGAAGATTCAATTGCAAGAAAAAGGATCTACCTCATGTCCAGGGGTATCAAGGAAAACACAGGACTGCATCTTTCCATCAAAAGGGACAGACACCTTATAAGCACCAATTCCTTGTGTAATTCCCCCTGCTTCTGAAGCAGCAACCTGCAGATAACCAGGTAAGAAAGATTAGATGAAAAAGCTATGTAGCACTAACCTTGCCAGTAAGCAAAATGAATAAACACAAATATAGATTCCTATGCTAAATACGAGTTGTATCCTCAACACATTAATTGCCATTAGCCATGCTTTAGAATTGATAAAGAACTGACGAGGCCACAATGAAAGTTTTTGATAAATGAAAAGGCAAATCAAAGTTACGTCAGATAGCTAATCTCATTCATACCTTGCTTTTCCTGATATAATCTAGAAGAGTAGTCTGCAAAATAGGTAAAAAATGCCATTAGGAAAATATGATGCTAAAACATAAGACTCTACATATCCTTTTATGGACGAGTAGGACATGAAAACAAAGATAGTAGTGCAAATTGTGCTTACCTTTCCATGGTCCACATGACCCATTATCGTTATGACAGGAGGCCTGTCCTCTAACTTGTCCAAATCTTCTTCATCAAAAGTTTGCCGTTTCTTTGCCATCTCTTCTACTTTAACTGAATCAGCATCAAGGACCTCAACATCGTAATCTCTACAAATCATCTTCACCATCTCTCGGTCCAAGGTCTGCACACCATCAGGTCTAATCCCTTTTGAATATAGATACCCGAGGATGTCACCTTCGCCGATGGCTAGGTTGTAAGCCAAATCCTCGATGGACATGCCTTCTTCCTCTACCTCTAAGATTTCAGCTTTGACAGGTGCAGCATCTTTTGCAGCCTGGAGTCTTACAGCCTTCCTACTCGCTTTACTCCATTTTCTCCCTTTTCTACCTGATCTAGAAATGGATGTATCTTCATCGCCGTCATCTTCAGCAACAATTCTTCGTCTTGGGCTAGCTGATGCATTTTTTTTATTACGGTGCTCAACTCTGAACTTGTTAGAGGGAGGACCCTTTCCAGGCTTCGTAGGAGCTAACACAGCCTGAGAGGCCACAGCATCAACAGCCTTTTTCTTGGAAGCAAATTTGTCAACCAAAATAGGCTTCCTTTCTTTACTTTTAATGCTAGAATCAACTTCTTGAGAAACTGGAGGTTTTGGTGCCATACCAAGATCTTTTAAGATGGGTGATTTCTTGACGGGTGGTTGAGCTACCATAGGCTTCCCTTGTAACATTGGCTGGGGTCTTACAGGAGGTTGAGGTCTAAAAGGTGGCTGAGGTGGTGCCAATTGAGCGCCTGCTTTGGCATTGGCCTCTTCCTCTTCTTTTGTTCTAGGTTCGACCTGCATTCCTCTATTATCAATTTTAGGTGATTCCTTAACAACTTTTTGCACAGCAGAGACAGCATCTCCCTTACGCCACACACTCTTCATAGTTTTCGTCTTCCTTGTGGCTCCAGCACTCGCATAGCTACCATTTTTCGAGTTACTACTGCTGGCAGTAGGCGGTGACGGTTTAACAGCCTCAACACCTTCTCTATTACCTGGTTTCGGTATTTCCAATTTCTCAGCTTTATCTAACACATCACCAAGAGATTCAATAACCTTATTCCTCTCTTCTTCGCCATCAAACTTACCCCCATTGGATAAATCCTTAGTCCAAGGAGCAGTATTCGACCCCAAAACTCTTTCCACCCTTGGCATAGGGGGTTTCAACACAGGTTTAGGATTCTGTTTGAGCACAACCTCGGTATCATCCCCATCTTTACTCCCTCTAAACGAGTTAGAATCTATAGAATTGTTGTTTTGATCAGCAATGAAGTCAGCAGTAGTAGTAGTAGTAGAAGACGAAACGGAATATCTACAGAGCCATTTCTTAGTACCCTTAACGCTTCTCCTTGACAAAGAAACCCTTTTAACTAACGCATAGGATGCATCCGAAGAACTCGTTCCTGAAACGCTTGCACAAGCACCACCTAGACTAACCAGAGAAGCCAACGATGGCATTGTGCCGACGAGAACAAGCATCGACGGCATCTCCAATAAACCCAGATAACGAACAAAGCAAAAAGCAATAGCAAATTCAGAGACTTTTTATCTCATTCCAATCCCGACGGATTTCGAACCAGAAATGACACAAAAGCTACCGAATTCGAAAGGAATTGGGGTTATAGACGTATCGAATTCGAAATCATCAAGCTCAAATTGAGGATATGTGAGCAATTTAGAGAGATAGTGAGAGAAACAGAGAGAGGAAGAAGATAAGTGAAGGAAGAAGAAGAAGAAGAAGAGAGTGCGGAGATAACTTTGAACTTGAGCTTGTGTGGGTGTGGCTGCTTCTATGCCTGAAATTTTCGCGGATTTCCGATAAGGCCAATTTACAAAAACAAACAATTAAAAGCCATAAAAAAATTTACTCTTAACAATTATATAAAATCATTTTATCCAGAAAAGAAAAAGAAAAAAAAAACACAACTTTATTTTCTTGTCTGGAACATTTTAGTCCTCTCAAATTGGATATTGGGCTCAACAGCAAAGCCCATTTATAATGAACCCGTCTCATTTATATACCGACCCGGGAACTTCTGCGTGATTGACACACGTGGCAAAATATGAGCCGTAAATTGTACAGAGAGGGCAAATTCGTCCACCAAAGCAGCCGGAGATCAAATTAAACTCATTAAAATATCAATCGAAAAGTAACAGAGAGCATTTAATACCAAAATAAATAAATATAGATTCGATTAATAAATAACGCTGAAAAAGAGAGAGAGAGAGAGAGTAGTCATATTTCAGATTTCTCTCTCTTTACCTTACTCTGTTGAAAGTGAATCCCCGATATAATAGAGGGAGAGAGAGAGTGTGTGTGTGTGTCTCTCGTTGACGAAGGAGAGGATGAAGGAAGAGGATGTGAGTTCGCAGAACGTAAACCCTATTAGTAATCGGAACAGTGTTGCCTCAGCTTCTGCTTCCGCCTCTGCTACCCCTGTTGATAGGTTCCGACGACGAGCTAGATCGCCTTCTCCTCCTCTTACAGCTGCTGCTAGGTGAGTCCCCATTCTCTTAACGCAGATCGAGCTTCACTGGTGGGAAATTAAGAGTTTTTTTTTAATTCGTTTTGTTTAATTAGAGCTCATGTGAGATATATCTAGGGTTTCCTTGTTTGAGATTTGCATCTTAATTTTGCTACCAATGCTTTGAAATTTTTCAATTTTTTGCTTTTTGGTATTCGACGTTTGATTTCAATTCAAGCATTAACAGCTCTGCAGGGGCATCATCTCCTGCTTTTCTGGTTAACGCTGGCAGTGTGGACTGGTCAGGTCATGGGCTGGCAATTTCAGCTCGTTCGTGTAGAACTTGGGATAGAGGAGATTTACTTAGACGTCTTGCCACTTTTAAGCCTTCAAATTGGCTTGGAAAGCCCAAAGTATGAGTCTTTTCTTCTCGTTTTATGCTATTTCACATGCTATTTTCTTTGTCCTCACTCAGAAAACTAAATATTAGCTAGTGCATATCCTACCAAATTTAAGTTCATTTCTCCTAATCTAGTTTATATAGTGATGGGAATTAGATTGAATGCGGTAAACTTGGCATGGCCTCCTGTAGTTGTTTTTGGTTTCCTGTAGTTGTTTTTGGTTCAAACAATAACTTAGGCTGATCTAACAGTGTATCTAATGGACATGTTGAGAAGTCAATCCTAGTAACTTAGGTTGCTTCATTTGTGTGGTGATTTACTTTTTCGTCTTTCTCTATTTTGGATTGGTCCTTTCTATGTCCTATGGTATCTGTTGCAAGTTTCAGCTGGTGGAAATTGTTTTTTTATTAATGGTGTCTCCTGCCATGGTTTTTCTTTGTTTACAGACAGCTAGTTCTTTGGCTTGTGCTCAGAAAGGTTGGGTTAGTGTTGATCTGGACAAACTTCAGTGTGAATACTGTGGTTCCAATCTACATTACTCTCTTCCACAAGATTCGTTGAATCATCCCGAAGGTTAATATTCTTGTTCCTGTAATTAAACAGATCGTCTTTTTCTTTCTAACTCTTGGCACTGAGGTGTTGTGGAAGAATTTAAGTCTTCATCTTTCACTTGTACTGTACCAAAAAGGAGATAATCTCTCAAACTCTTTCTGAGCATCTTCGGAACGAAGAGTTTTGGTCAATAACCAACATATATACCAACGAAAAGAATTTTGTGTGTTTGCGGTGTGATTCTTCTCTTAAGCAAGAAACACCATTGGAAATTAATCTATATGGTGCTAATATTTGATATACCTTATCCTTATTTGATAACAGCTGATAACATCCGAGAAGAATTCTCCAAGCAGCTTGATGATGCACATGAGAGCTCTTGTCCTTGGGTAGGAAAAAGTTGTCCAGAAAGCTTAGTTCAATTTCCTCCAACTCCTCCATCAGCCTTGATTGGAGGTTACAAGGATCGTTGTGATGGGCTCCTTCAATTCTATTCTCTGCCAATTGTCTCGCAATCTGCAATCGACCAGATGTGTGCTTCAAGACGACCGCAAATTGACCGCCTTCTGGCACATCCTCAAGTCTATGCCAATGATGATCTCAGTTTCAAAATGGATAATATCTCAGCCGCAGAAACGTCCAAGGAAGGAGCTCTCAGTAATTACTACCGGGTAAGAACTCAGGAATATGCACTCTTATATTCGTGAAAATGCAAGCTTACTAGCAATAAACTACCATTTCTTATTAAAAAAAATAACCTTGTAGGCTCAGAAGTTGATAAGCCTATGTGGATGGGAGCCTAGATGGCTTCCAAATATCCAAGATTGTGAAGAACATTCAGCCCAGTCAGCTAGAAATGGGTGCCCTTCTGGCCCAGCTAGAAATCAAAGTCGTCTCCAAGATCCTGGTCCAAGCAGAAAACAATTTTCGGCTTCATCCCGAAAAGCCTCTGGAAATTATGAAGTTTTGGGTCCAGAATACAAATCTGAATCCAGATTACCTTTACTGGATTGTAGTTTATGTGGTGTAACCATCAGGATTTGGGATTTCATGACCACTTCTCGGCCGGTTCCGTTTGCCTCTATAAATGCCAGTATTCCTGAAACGAGCAAGAAAATGGGAGTGACACGTGGCACTAGTGCAACAAGTGGAATCAATGGATGGTTTGGTAATGAGGGCATGGAACAGCAGCAAAATGAAGATGTTGACGAGGCTGAAACTTCAGTTAAGAGAAGATTAGTATCAAATGTAGGTCCAAACTTATATCAAACTGCAGCTGGTGCATCATCCTCTGCGCAATTGAACATGTCTGTGACGCGTGATAATTACCAATTTAGTGATAGAGGAAAAGAAGTGTTGTGGAGGCAGCCTTCAGGAAGTGAGGTTGGTGATCGTGCTGCTTCATATGAATCACGAGGGCCTAGTACTCGTAAACGGAGCCTGGATGATGGAGGAAGCACAGTTGATAGGCCTTATCTACGGATACAACATGCAGACAGTGTTGAAGGGACTGTTGTTGACCGTGATGGTGATGAGGTTAATGATGATTCAGCAGGGCCTTCAAAGCGTACCCGAGGCTCTGATATGCATGAAGCTTATCCTCCCTTGTATGGGAGAGACTTATCAGTTGGGGGACCAAGTCACTCTCTGGATACTGAAAATGAGAGGGAAGTAAATAGAAGTGACCCATTTAGTGAAGGAAATGAACAAGCTATGGCTTTCCCAGGTGCCAGAGACTCCACACGGGCTTCCTCTGTTATTGCTATGGATACGATTTGCCACAGTGCCAATGATGATTCTATGGAAAGTGTGGAAAACCATCCAGCAGACTTCGATGATGTAAATTATCCTTCTGTAGCGACTGCTCAAAGTGCGGACTTCAATGATCCTTCGGAACTGAATTTCAGCAATCAAGCTCAGCAGAGCGCTTGCTTCCAACCAGCTCCTGCTCGGTTTAATGCTGAACCAGGCATTAGTAGCATAAATGACGGTGAGGAAGTACTGAACACAGAGACTGTCACTGCCCAGGGAAGAGATGGACCAAGTTTAGGTGTTAGTGGGGGTAGTGTTGGAATGGGTGCAAGTCACGAGGCAGAAATCCACGGAGCTGATGTTTCAGTCCATAGGGGAGATAGCGTTGTTGGAGACATGGAGCCAGTTGCAGAGGTCATAGAGAATCTAGGACAAAGCGGTGAATTTGCACCAGACCAAGGCCTTACTGATGATTTTGTTCCTGAAGAAATAGATCGAGAAGGTAGGCTTGGGGATAGTCAAGATAGGGTGTCTCAATCAATTGTAAGGGCGGACAGTGGCTCCAAAATTGTTGATTCATTGAAGGCTGAATCTGTTGAAAGTGGTGAAAAAATGAGTAACATAAATGTGTTGGTCACCGACGACAGTGTTCATCCATCTTTGTCTTGCAATGCGATCATGTGTTCTGGTTATGAAGCATCTAAAGAAGAAGTGACCCAGACTTGGGAGTCTCCGCTCAATGCTGGCTTTGCACTCCCTGGATCAAGTTACACTGCAAATGACCAAGGTCTGTAGATTTCTTCCCGTGGTTTATAAAGACATTAATATCCAAATTCAAACATATGCTGTTTCATTTCCAGGGCCTCCAAACGGGGATAGCAATGATGAAATTGTGGAGTTTGATCCAATAAAGTATCATAACTGTTACTGTCCTTGGGTTAATGAAAATGTGGCTGCTGCTGGATGTAGCAGCAACAGCTCGGGTTCGTCGGGTTTCGCTGAGGCGGTTTGTGGGTGGCAACTAACTCTTGATGCCCTTGATTCGTTTCAGTCCCTTGAGAATCCTCAAAACCAGACAATGGAATCAGAATCGGCTGCATCTCTGTGCAAGGTTTGCATTAACTTGCATTTCCTTTACTTTATTTTATTCCTTCTCTAGATGATCTGACACTGACACCTAACTGGTTTCAACTGTGTTGTTTGTAGGATGATCACCGAACTCCTTCCCAGAAGCTTTTAAAACGCCATTCTTTTATCAGCAGCCATGGGAAAAAGTAAAGAGTATTTACTTGCGAATAAATAAAAACAAAAAGGTACAATTGCAAATTTTCCTGATTTCAGACAGAAATCCTTATATATCGGTGTGGTAAAGCACATAAGCTGGCACGACACTTGGTTAGCGGCTCTTTAGCTTGGGTTTCCTTTTTCGCAGTACAAAATAAAGAAGTTTCTATAGTCTTTTCTCGGATCTACAAAACTTTTGTGTTTCATTATATTTAAAGTAAAAGTTTGTGTAGTAAGTAAAACAGCTAAAGACGCCTAAACAGAGGTGACAGTATTGAAACTAATTCGATAATCTTATAATTACTTCTTGTCCTGTTTAATCCTGCATTCAACGATATTGGTTGTGTGTAAATCATCAGTTCACAAGGCAATGTGTGAATGGAACCGTTGTGTTGATGATCATTAGTCTCCGGTAATTTTGTATGATTCTTATGTTTAAAATCGTAACATTAATACAATAATAAAAAGGTCCATAAACAAAAGCATTCTTTCTCCTTGACCCCAGTTAAAAAGACATGTGAAACATGACAAATTAGATTGTACTTAAAAAGCAAATGAAGGATCAATTTCCGAAGACAGCGACTTCGATGTTCTTGTCGGAGTCAACAATGGAAGGAGGATCAAAGCGAGTAAAGAGCTTATAAGAGGAGATTAGAGAGAGAACAACGTAGAAGCAAACCACGAAGAATGTGATTATAACAGAAGCAGTGGCTTTATGGCAGAAACTGCCATAGGAGCTGCATGCATCGCTCCAAGTAATGGCTGCGTCTCCATTGTAAGCTAAGTATAGAACTTCCGCGGACACAGCTCCAGCAGCAAGAACCAGATAGGTCAGAAGCTGAGACAATTAAATATGTATTATGAAATGAATTTTAGTATCAAGCGGTCCATTTGGTTTGCTGATTAACGGAAGGTTAATACTATACTAGACCTGGTCGAGACAAAAGAAGGTCCAAACACGAGGCATAGTTGAAGAAGAGCGAGGCATCGCTGCCATGGCTGCTGATAGAAGAGAGTAGCCTGCACATATTCCATTTGCGTGCACCAGGTACCTAGTTTTGTAATAACATTTTTACCATTACTAAATTACCGATAGTTAAATACATATTAAAAAAAAATGTATTCAAACCATAATAGCAATCTTAATCAAAAACCCCTATATGGCCATATCTATACTAACTTCGATAACAACAAATGTAGCTTTGACTAGTACGTGTCTGTGCCTAGCATATTCTAGCCCCTACACTAAAATTAAAATTGTCCACTTGTGATTCATCAGAACCGCATGTTTTATGATAACAGTGAAAAATTTTGGGGACCAAATTAAGATTATAAGTGAAAAGTTTAGGACCAAAGACTACCGGCCATGATGAATCTATTATAACGAGAAAAGAAAAAAAAATGCTATACTATACACATGTATGCACATAATTACAGTCAATTCCTTGAAACTACTACAGCTTTTTTCTGTATTTCCATGTAAAAACTTCGGTACATCATCTCACAACACAAAAACCCTAATTGTAAATAGTATGCGAGAAGATGTAACTCTGAATCTTAGAGGCAGGTGAAACATTAATATAAGTACCATTCCCAATTTCCCATGTTAACATGTGTATGAATAAGATACGTACCTGAAAGCTGTGAGATTGGAGTAAGATATAGAACCGAACTCATTGTCTTGAGAGTCCTTAAGCATGACAACAAGCGCCGCAACACAAAGCCCCACCGGAGCTAACCGGAGCATTGTCTCGGCAGTTCGGAATCCGGGACCAATCTCCTCCCACTTTTCCGTCGCAGCACCATCGGACCCGCCGTGGTTATCCTTGTGATGATCATTGCTCTTCTCCATTTTCTTGCTCTCTTTTTTTTTTGTGGTTCCTATGAGGGAAAAAATGTGGTTATAACACAAGTGGTGGTGATTTTAATGTGTGACATTAAATAAAAAGAAAGTGTTGGATCGATAGGGTTGGTGACTGCATTTAATTTCGATATTCATGACACTCCTCACGCTTCCCTAGAAGCAAACCACATTTAAAAGCCTTCGAAATTGACAAGTTATGTCATCCACTACTACAAATTGCAAATTATTGATCACTCCACTCCAATACAATCTTGGTTTTTTTATTAAAACGAACGATTTGTCTACAAAAACATATACTGTAGATATATATTTTTTTTTTTTAAACTCAAATCTGAAAAAAATGAAGATTAATACAAATGCTTAGCTCATTTTAATTTAATTAAGTACAGTTTTCATATGTTAATAAAATTAAATTAGGAAATTAATTTCTCACTCGTGGACATGTTTTATCCAGGCGACTGTTTTATTCGCTTTCTCATGGTTTTTTAACCTTTAATTTTTTCACATCCATCGGTTTGAACCTTAAACTGCAACCTTAAGAACAATGTATATCAAAATATACTATATAACAACATTGTTAACACGACTACTTCTTCGTTTAGCATCTCAATCAAAGAATCGTAGCTTTGAATGTGAAGCAAAATTTTAACATTGGCTACTTCTTCGTTTATATATATTTTCAAAGAAGTAAAGTGTTTATAGGTTACTAAATTTTGGAGCTAATCAAATCTCGTGACGAAAATACAGATGCAGAAATTTTTTGGAGTTAGTTTCTTTGTAGATAATAAATTAAATGTATAGAGTAATAGTGTGTGTGCTACGTACGTATTCTCATAATAGTATGGTTACCGGATTAGTTGGTTTAATAAAAGCAACTAATTCTAAATTTGTAAACACCATATATATGGGACTATTTGGTGGATCAAATTTATGAATGCTCCTGCAAATTTTCATAAGCACAAGGCCTCCAAGCTATATTATATTTCAGTATCATCAATAGTCAATACCTTTATGTAGATCGAGAATCTAATATATTAAATATTACAATATACATATATAGTACTAGTTTTGAAACGAAATACTTCTTATACTTTTATATTGAAATTTCTAGTGAATTATTTGTTTTTGGTCTTTCTGGCAAGTATATATGGCCCCTCTAATGTTTTTTTTTTAATATATATTTTTGGGAGTGTATTCAATCAAACTTCTATAGTGATTTTACTCAAATGGTAAATGTACTGACTCTTAAAATTGGTTATATTAAATTTTAAATCTTATATTGTTATTGTAGTATTTCAAGCATTGGTTATATTAAATTTTAAATCTTATGATTTATGTATTATGATTTCTGGAAATATATATATGTTTCATCCAAAATGATTTTAAAAAATCTAAAACGTAATTTTAACAACAATATATATGGTATCTAGTTTGGGAAAGTGTATCATTGAGGTCATCCGAGCTCCACGTAATAACGTCACTCGAACTCAGGTTATATGTATATTTATTTATTTTGGTAAAGGTTATATGTATATTTATTTAGTGACGGAAATAACGATGATAGTTTTTTTATTCTTTCTCTTGATTACAAATTCAATCGCCTTTTTCAAACAATATATACAGTAGGATACTTTTTCCTAATTTACCCTATATTCTGTGATTAATAGTAGAGGATATCAAAATATTAATAATCAAATTTGACATCTTAACAACCAAAAACATATCTTTCTTCTTAATTCCTTCTTTTGCTAAAAACCAAAACATATCTTTTAAACTTTTTTATGCAACAAAAAAAACTAATAGAAAATAAACAACATAAGATAATGTATTTTTTTCATTAATTGGAAACATAATTCACAAAATAAACAAATGTTTTAGTTTGGCCATGTATTTTTGATTGTTTGATGTTAAATATAAACTTAAAACCAAATGAAGAGAAAAAATATGATAGTGTGTTCTGAATTAGTTTTGTGGGTAACCTGAGATATATATATAACTTTATTATATAGTACTAGTAGTAGTATTATTCTGTTGTCACATCGTTTTCATTCGAATTTAATTCAGAAGCCACACTTATTAGTGCTAGATCGCATCATGAATATTATTACTGGTATAAAATTACATATTCCATAATAAAATTAGTCAGTTAAATTAAACATTAGGTCCAACTTGATACATACAGTATATATGTAATTGGAAGGAAATGGATTTTATGTAAGATTTGTAATTTTCTCTTTTCATTTTTTTTTCCTGTTGTTTTGGTGTCAAAGCTTTATGAACCGTAATAAAAAAATGTTTACTACTATATGAGAGAGTCTGTCAGATCATCTTGATCCAAATGACAGAATATATGTTAATCTTTAATATCAATTAAAAAATAAATTACTTCGTTAGTTCAATATTTTTTTCATTTTCTTCGGATTAGATTAATTTTGATATAGATAGAGTGAATGGTAACGAAAAAGGTGCCGTGAACATTTTTATTACGGTTGTACAATGCTTTGAGCGTTTGACCAAAACAACAGGAGAAAAGTACAAATCTTGCATAAAACAGAAACACACACAATATAATCAGACTCTTCTTAATACCCCCCAACCATTTTCTTCTATACAACACATGAAAAGATGGCTCATGCTCCAAATTTCTTCCTCAAGACATAAACATACTCAATGATCCTATCAGAATCAGCTAATGCCTTGACCACACTCTCTCTTTCCAAACACCTCTTGGTCCACGTAGTCAATTTAGGAAACTCTGTTTCGATACTGAACTCACCAAATTTCTCCATGGCCTTGAACCAGCTGTAGTATCCCATAAATGCAATGTCCAGGTATCCGAACACTTGACCACCATAATAAGGCTTGTCTCCCAGCGCTGTTTCAAGTGTCTTGAAATGTTCCAACAGTTCCTTCTTCGCTGCTGCGTGTTCTTCCCCCATTGTTGCCCATATCTTCCATGATGGGTCGTAAAACTGAATTTAACAAAATGCACCAAAGTCATCATCATATGTACATTATCTTTAAGAAACTAACATTATGATATTTTTGGAACCAGAATTAATGTTTTCATTTGTGTTTGCATGCATTTCTTTCTCTTTAAACGAACTTAAAACTTTTAAAACATCTTTAACGCAAAATCGTTTTATAAATGTTTTATAGCGTTTGCATGTTAAAGAAATATATATTTTAAAGAATTTTTTTTTAAAAAAAAAATTCATCTAAAACCCTTAAAATTTGGGATCTCAGATAATAAAACCTACACATATTAAAGATACATAAGATAATTAAGAGTGGGATGGGGAGAGTTATTACCTTGCGGTCGATGAAATCAGCCCAGAACCGAGCTTGAGACTTGTGGTAAGGATCAGAGGGAAGGATAGGGTATGTATGGGACCAAACCTCATCGATGTACTCAAGCTGGATAAGAGACTCACATATGGGTTTACCGTTGTGGATGAGAACAGGGATCTTCTTGTGAATGGGGTTCATCTCGAGGAGCAAAGGAGTCTTAACCCATGGATCCGTTTCCTTGTACTCATACTTGACTCCTTTCTCAGCCAAAGCCATCTTTGTCCTCATCCCGAACATGCTTGGCCAGTAATCAAGAAGAATCACTTCGTCCGCCATTTTTTCAGATCCGGTATGGTTTACCTCTGATCCAATTGTTATTTTTCGAGTGTTTGTGTTATGCTTGTTGTTATATATATATGTGGATAAGGATGTTTATGAGGTTGAGGGTTTTTGGGGATTTTTTTTGAGGTAAACACGATAGGGGTTCTAGTAATGTGTTCCACGTAACTTATTAAAGTCTTTATAAATGCATACATATATATATATATATAAATTTTGTCAACAATTATAAATTGATTGACTTATAGACTTATACGAACCAATATTGAAAAATATGACTTATAAAATACTTAAATACATATTTTGTTTTCTTATAAAATACTATATGGATAATGGATTGTAAAATACTAAATTCAATACGCCCCTGAAACAAATTTAATAATACAGTTGTCTATATGCTGTAATGGAAAGAAATATGTTTTTTTTTTTTTTTTGACAAAGAAATATGCATTTATTTTGAGCAAAACCCTTAATAAGTTCTTTCTTCACTCTCTTTTTCTTTTGTTTCTTACGATTCCTTGCCTTTTTTGGTTTTATATATTTTCTATATCTAGCAACCAATATGTATGAATTTGAATTTAACCGAATTAAAGTTGTAGCTGTTATCAAATCTCACTTCCGAATGATTCAGTTTATCGAAATATGCGGTCCTGTCATTTGAATATCCATGTGAGTTATGTGTAAAGAGAAGGCCACTCAAGCAAACCGTTTGGGAGCAAACCTTCCTGATCATGCTACTGATTTAGTTTTTGGGCCGTAAAGCCCATTGTATATTGGACCTTAAAGTGGTCTGCTCGCAATATTAAAAAGGATCCAGTCCAATGATTGTAGTTTCTGGAAGTCTTCTTCTTCTAATCACAATGGAGAACTCAAAAACTAACAATCATTGAAATCAACGCTGATATTACTCAAGCTAAGCTAAAACACCTCAACTGTCTTCAAAGTAAATATTTGTATTATTTTTAGGAAGACATAGTGTTAAGATTTTCGAAACAGGGAGAAACAGGACATAAAAGAGAAACACACAAAAAAAAAAAAACATAAAAACACAACATATATAAATATAGCAGTAGAAGTAAGAAGATGTCTATTCGATCCCAATATGTTTCTTTAGCACGGGAACGAACTCAACGATCTTGTTGGAATCAGGAAGAGACTTGGCCACACTCTCTCTCTCCACACACCTTTTAGCCCAAGCAATCAGTTTTGGACACTCTGCTTCAATGCTGAAATTCCCAAACTTGTCATACGCCTCGAACCAGCTGTAAAACCCAATGAGAGCTATGTCCACGTAACCGAACGTTTCGCCTCCAAAGTAAATCTTGTCTCCAAGCTCAGACTCTAGTGTCTTTAGTATCTCGATGAACTCCTTCTTCCCCGCCTCTTGTTCTTCTCCTTTCGCTCCCCAAATCAACCTCGCTGAAGCGTACACCTAATCACATTTATACGAAAACTTTTAATATCGATCGATGATGTTGCCTAACAAAGCTTAGGTTATAAAGCTATTAATATTTAGAAGATTGATTACCTTCTTGTCGATGAAGTCACCCCAAAACTTGGCCTGAGCTCTTTGGTAAGGATCAGAGGGAAGGAGTGGGTTCTTGCTAGGCCAAACCTCGTCGATGTATTCAACCTGGATGAGAGATTCACAGACCGGTTTACCATTGTGGATGAGAACCGGGATTTTCTTATGAACAGGATTCATCTCGAGGAGGATCGGGCTTTTGTTCCATAGATCTTGTTCTCTGTAGTCGAACTTTACATTTTTCTCCTCTAGAGCAATCCTCGTCCTCATTCCGAACATGCTCGGCCAGAAATCAAGAAGAATCACCTCGTCCGCCATTCTTGTTCTTGAATCTTGATTAAAGCTCACTGAGTTCTTTTGTTTTGTGTCTTAAATATATGATTAGAGAGAACAAGGTTTCGGTAAATTTATAGAGGAGAAGAAACATTAAACTACACCCAAAAAAAAAGAAAAAAAAAATCGCATTTTGCTTGCCGATAAAGTCAGAAATGCATTAATTCCCATTACACTGATATCTAAATTAATTAATCACGTTAAAGTGTATACAGACATTATACGAAGGGAATAAAACTTTTTGCTAAACATTTGTCTTTTCATTAATTATCTTTACCTTAAGAGTTAGAGATTCCTTTTAGTCTCATTATTTTGTGTTATTGAATATGTTAAAATTTGATGTTGAGTTTTTTCGTGTATTATAAGTTTATATAGTTCCAAGTATTCAAATATTTATGTTTAACATTTATCGGACATGCTAACATTTACGTGACAAATTTTAAATCAAATGCTTATATACCAAGAGTATAACGTATAGAAGCTTTATTTCAGTATTGAGAGTTGCAAATCATCGACCTAATCAATTTATTTATTAATGGTTTCCGATTCATTTAGATTGACCAAAATGATTCATTCACACAGAGTTGAAACTTGAAATGATTATGTCACTGCTTAGGTCACCTTACTTTTAAGTTTAGAGACGGTGGGAGTTTTCAAATATTTTTCCTCTACTTTGCCAAATTTGTATTGGTTACCTTTTCTATTGTCGGGCCTCTCTTTAGTTACTTTTAAGGATGCCAAAAAAAAAAAAAACAATCAAATTTTTAGCTGGCTGAAAACATAATTAAATTGATTCGTAATACATATGTGATTATATGTCTCTGGCATCTAAATCCCATTATTCTCATTTTTGTGGATCTTCATAAGCAAAGTAAACAATCAGTTTGCAGTCAACAATACTAGTAACTAATAAATTTCAAACATATTTTTGAATACTTAAAATGACTAAAACGAAGTTTCTTTGAACCGACACTATCCGACGATTTTTTAGATGTGTTCGGTTAATATTTTTAAATCGAGTTTAATTTTCAATTTATTTTTTCCCTTATTTAATTCAATTTTTTTTAGTTAATCTTATTACAGTATTTGAATAAAGATTATCAAATCTTGTGCACCATGTCGGATTATTGTTTAAATCAACGAATTCAAAATCTATTATACGGTGCGTCGATTTTGGTATTAGAACAAGTGACGTTCATGTTTTGTCATCAATAATTTATAATTCAATGCCATTCTATTACAAAAAATAATAATTCAATGCCATTGATCGTATAGCACTAAAATGCACTAATAATTCTCTATTGTGTACAACACAACGAATTTAAAAGTAAAATGTAGTTTGATCTAATTATTCGTTTATTTATCATTCATACGTAGGTTATAGTCTACTTATTTCATAAGATTTAACATTTAGCTGTTCTTATTTTTATCGTGTTTTTTTTTTTTACATCAAACTTTATATATATTGAACACTGAAACTGAAATCAAGTTTACATAAACATTATTCGAAGACATAGAATCACATAGTTATGTAACAAAAAAGAAAGAAACATCGAAAATATAGTCTCCCAAACTAGTACGTATTATTATGCGGCAGACAAGACCGCAAACAGCCAAACAGAAAAGAAGAAACACAAGAACCGATCGACATGGAACAGAACAAAGAAGAGAAATTTACTCTAGTTCAAGTTTCTTCCTACGCTCGGAAATGAACGTAGTGATCTTCTCTGACTCGGGCAAGGCTTTAGCGACGCTCTCTCTCTGCAAACACCTTTTGGCCCAGGCAATCAGTTTTGGACACTCTGATTCGATATTGATATTCCCATACTTGTCGTACACTCCAAACCAGCTATAGAACCCAATGAGAGCTATGTCCACATACCCGAACGTTTCTTCTCCAAAGTAATCTTTGTCTCCAAGCTCGGATTCAAGCGTCTTGAGTATCTCGATTAACTCCTTGGATGCTTCTTCTTTCTCCTCACCTTTTGTCGTCCATATCCTCCTCCCCGCAACGTTCACCTGATCCATTTGGTTAAAAATTTACAAGTGGACTCTAGCGGAAGAAACCAAACCAATCCAAAATACTTAAACCGATACCAAACCAATCTTGTTTAGAAACCAACTGATTTTAATATACAAAGAAAATGAAAATTGAATCCAAACAAATACATTTACTACTACCAGTACGGCAGTACCAGTAATATAGCACCAAACATAACCGAAATAAAATCAAACATCAAACCGGTATAAAGCGGATAAAACCAGCAAAAACCAAACCGTAAATATAACATGTAATACCTTTTTGTCGATGATGTCGGCCCAGAATTTGGCACGAGCCCTCTTGTAAGGATCGGAGGGAAGGAGAGGGTTTTCTTCGGGCCAAGTCTCGTCTATGTACTCGAGCTGAAAGAGAGATTCACATAGCGGTTTACCGTTGTGGATGAGAACCGGGATTTTCTTGTGAACCGGGTTCATCTGGAGGAGCAAAGAGCTCTTATTCCAAAGATCTTCTTCTCTGTAATGGTACTTGACTCTTTTCTCCGCCAGTGCAATCCTCGTCCTCATCCCATACATACTCGCCCAGAAATCCAGAAGAATCACCTCCTCCGTCATTGCTAGGTTGCTCTCTTGATCTAGCTCACTGTAGATCTCTCTGCTACTCTCGCTCGTTGTTTTGACTTGTGTGTCTGGTGGTGAAGAAGCAGACATGTTCCATAATTTATACTAGTACTGATGATGAGTATTAAATTGATATTCGCTAGTTGCTTATGCCACTGCCTGCGTCATCGTCGTGCTTTTGACCGTGGGCAAGTGGTTTTATTACTGGAGTTACAATTCACTTATCACTCTAAAATTCGAAATGATTAATTTAGCATCTACTCTAATGTTTAGAGCGAAACCACGTACGAGTGTGATACGAAGACTCGTTCACTAATAACTCTCATAGTCAAAATCACAAAAGGTTGTTTCATACAAGTCAACACTTTGGATGATGAAAGGGGTTTCACTTTCTCAATTCACCAATTTTAATCCTACGAACATCGAATTCGATCGACTCAGGAAGCTTCAGATCAACACTCTCTATCCTAATCCAACACAATCTCGATGTTCCCGCCCTCTTTCCAGAAGATCCCTCCGTGTTCTCTCGCTCTCCGTCGATCCATCGGCGAATCGGAATGTTAAATCAGCTATCGAAGCCCATGCGCCGCCTCTGGTCGTTGTGGGATCTGCGAACGCCGACATCTATGTGGAGATCGAGAGATTGCCCAAGGAAGGGGAAACGATTTCGGCCAAGACAGGGCAAACGCTCGCCGGAGGAAAAGGCGCGAATCAGGCGGCGTGTGGAGCGAAGCTTATGTATCCGACTTACTTCGTTGGCCGTTTGGGTGAGGACGCGCATGGTAAGCTTATTGCCGAGGCGTTGGGCGATGCTGGGTGTGGTGTTCATCTGGATTACGTGCGATCGGTGAACGATGAGCCGACGGGGCACGCCGTCGTCATGCTTCAATCGGACGGTCAGAATTCGATCATTATCGTTGGTGGTGCTAATATGAAAGCTTGGCCTGAGACAATGAGTGATGATGATCTTGAGATCGTGAGGACTGCTGGTATTGTCCTGCTTCAAAGGGAGATCCCAGATTCCATCAATATTCAAGTTGCTAAGGTCATATTTTTCTACTTCTTTCAAAATTTCATATTGGGTTTACTTCAATGAGAGTTAGTCTAGGGGAGCTAAAATGCAGCTTTAGTTTGAAACTTTGATGCAATGTTGTCTTCTTGACAACAATGTCAGCTTATAGGAGTGTTGGTTGATCATATGCTTGGATCATCTTGATGGAATTGCTATTTCTCCAAAAAAAAACTTAGGTTTGCTGGTGGGTTTTTTTGCAGGCTGTGAAGAAAGCAGGTGTTCCTGTCATCCTTGATGTTGGAGGAATGGATACGCCAATCCCCAATGAGTTATTGGATTCCATTGACATCTTGAGTCCGAATGAAACTGAGCTCAGTCGCTTGACCGGGATGCCAACTGAATCTTTTGAACAGATTAGCCAAGCTGTTGCAAAGTGCCATAAGTTGGTAAGTCCCTTTTTTTCCTCATTACCAATACATCAGACTTTTAATTTTGGCTAATCATCCTTGCTGCAACTGGACTCTTTGAAGATGCTGGTTTAGTGGTTTTTGGGTTTATAAGGTTTAAGCTATGTTTTCCCTCAGGGAGTTAAGCAAGTCCTAGTGAAACTCGGGTCCAAAGGATCTGCACTATTCATAGAAGGGGAAAAACCAATCCAGCAGTCTATAATACCAGCTGCACAAGTGGTCGATACTACAGGAGCTGGGGATACTTTCACAGCTGCATTTGCAGTGGCTATGGTAGAGGGCAAGTCCCATGAGGAATGCTTGAGATTTGCTGGTAATAATTAGTGGACAAAATCCAAGAAATCTAGTTTTCTAACCCCATAATTTCAGATTAGTTTTGTCTCACTTTTGGTTCTATCTTCTGGTGCCTACAGCTGCAGCTGCCTCTCTTTGTGTCCAAGTAAAGGGTGCAATACCGAGCATGCCCGACCGAACATCGGTCTTGAAACTCCTTAAATCTAGTATCTAAAATGTGATACTCTTTTCAACTCTTTTTTTTATCAATAAAAGCACTTCAGATCACAGAGGGAAGAGGTTGAAGCTGGCGATGGCGTTACATTAGCTACACGCCGACAACAAACCAAATGATTGTCTAATGTAGTCTCCGTCTCTTTGACATCGTAATAAGTCACATTACTAATAACATTCTGATCTTAAATTTGATCTACGAGCAAATGTAAGGATCTAGCGTTTGTAGCATATGCGGGAATCAACCCCTCGTATTAGGCTACCCAACCGGACACATACGAATGACAAATGTGAAATGTGTATTAGTTGCCCCATTTTTGTGCAATAGTGATTTAAAAAAAAAACAAATACAACAAAAGCACACAGCATTAATTAATATAAAACTACACGAGATATCTCATATCTTGTGGTAATAATAATTTCTGTAAATGGTAGTCATTTTTCTTCTAGAACTGTTCAAATTTTTTATGGATACTTTTTTCTGTGTTAAGTAACCGTGTTTTATGCATCATGAATAAAATGTATATAAATTTGGTATTGTTGTTTATAGTTTTTGAACCGTGTATCACCATACTAAATTACTTAATAAATTGCAGAATTTTGGATAAGGATATATCCTAAAACCATATCACATTATTATTATTTTTTTTTTTGATTTTTTTAAACCATTAAAAAGTGAAATATATAGTTTTCTCGCTCATTAATCATATCATCATTTCATTATGAAGCGACTGAAAATATATAAAAATACAAAAATGTAAAAATATTGTGCTAGAAAATAAGTTTTGATTGCGCTATAAAAGAGACACTCCTCCACCCATTTGTGGTATGTGCTCATGTGAAACCACGCAGCATAAGCAGCCATCAACACAAGTGATATATTATCTACTAGTTCCACATCTCCGCAAGCCCTGTGAAAAAGTATTTTCAATGGCTCCTGGATTGATGGGCTGATCACAAAATATTCTAGACTAAAATCAATGTCCATATAGTTATTATTTCAACAAATGGTATATTAGTAAAAGACTCATTATTTCTCACTAACCAACAAATAATTGAATTTATCCACCAATTATTTAGTCAATTTTTAATGTTTACATATGTTTTGCTTATAATTTGCTCATGTTTTAAATATATTTTATTTATGTTTTTCCACTTTTTTCAAAAGTTAACAATAATTATTATGTGTTGTATATGTGTAGTCAAAAATAATTCATCATTTAAATGCATGAAAAAACTTAATTTTCTTTTTAAAAAAATATTTGGTATAAATTTATTGATTTATAGTACTTATACCATATGAATTTTCAATTGGAAAATATAGAACTACTCAATCTTTTATAACATCAGATCCTTTAAACTTTGTGTCTACAAAGAAAAAGTCTAATTTTTAAGAACCTTGGGAGTTAAATATTATCATCATTCTCAAAGTTATCAAAGACAATGTTTATTGTTGAAGAGATGTCATCGACAAACAAATTTATGTATCTACTGATATATTCATTTTTATAAAATAAAATTATATAATTTGAAATCAAAATATATTGATATCAAATATAATTGGAATAAATGGTTTAAAAGCTCGATGAAATTGTATAATTTGAAATCACATGTGATAAGATCAATTTATCAACCATATTTCAAATGAAATGGTTTAAAAAACGAATTATTAACTTCTGGTATTGAAGTTTTATGTCTACTATATAGTTTAACGGAACATCGCTTTTGGCTTGCTAGTAAGTAGTAACATTTCAAATTTTTCTGTTATTAAATTAATTAGAGGTTATACAAGATCTGTTCATTCAAAAGAAAGTTAAGATATATACATATAAAATGTATAAAATACACTGTAAGAATATTTTTCATATCTTAGAAAAACAATGTGTAGTTTTGATAATTAATTTACAAACACATGTAATTTGTTGAATACAAAATCATAATATTGATGGATTGTAAAACTATATATTTTAGAAAAATTCAAGTTAACCCTGTTGTCCAGATCTCATCACAAATTTAGATATTGGTATGTATATATGCACACCAATCAAAAAGAAAATGACTATATATTGTTTCGACCAGATCAGTTCATACAATGCGAAGGAACCATCTTGCCTGTAGCAGAACCTTTAATGTTCTCACACAACGTAATCGCTGGACCGTCAACTCCATTGTGCTTCAAGTTAATGTCAATTAACTTAACATCTTTGCAAGGAAAACTTTTGCTACATTGAAATTTCACAGCCACTTTGTTCTTTGACGTTCCCCAAATATTTTTTAATGTCACGTTTTGGATCTGAATGTGAGAATCTCCCTGCAAAAATTACAATAAAAAACATATAACAATATGTATTTAAACTCGACATGAAGATTTTTAAAAAGAAGTAAGTTTGTTTCTTGCATAGTAAGTTACCATATTCTTGCAGGGTGGGTAAGGACAATACTTCTGATCAATGTTAATCGGGGTTCCAACATCAATCATCTGCAAATTCTCATAAACAAAATTGGAAACTAGGTGTGAATATGAAAGGCTCCATCTTATTACATGTGAGACTTTACAATATATATAGGATTACACAAGTGACTAGGTTAATACAATTACATTTATATCCACATTATATACATCACTTACACGCCCCCGCAAGATGGAGGGGCATGTGCAACTCCAATCTTGGACATAAGATCAAGGAACTTCGGGCGCGGAAGAGCTTTCGTGAGAGCATCCGCAAGCTGATCATGTGTGGAAACATGAGAGACTCGAAGAGCACCCTCTTGAACATATTGCCGAACAAAGTGAAAGTCAAGAGCAATATGTTTCATACGGGAGTGAAAAACAGGATTTGCCGAGAGATATGTCGCTCCAACATTGTCACAATAAATCACCGGTGGCGATTGCAACTCAATACCAAGTTCAGTGAGGAGATTGCATACCCAACGTAGTTCAGCAGCAGTATTTGCAACCGCACGGTACTCCGATTCCGTCGAAGAACGAGCAACACTCCGTTGTTTCTTTGAGGACCACGAGATAGGATTACCACCAAGGTACAAAATATAGGCATTAGTCGAGACACAATCTTCCATATTTTTGGACCAATCCGCATCAGAGTAGGCGTGTAATGTCAGCGGTGTGGCAGCACGAATAAATATACCAACAGACGCAGTACCAGCAAGATACCGTAAGACCCGTTTGGCAGCTTGCCAATGAAGATCCGTTGGGCTGTGCATGAACTGAGACAACCGGTTAACCGCAAAGGCAATATCAGGCCGAGTGAACGACAAGTACTGTAAGCTCCCAATGACAGCACGGTATTCACTTGGTTGCGAGAGAGGTGTATCAGACTTGACGGATAGAGTTGGAGTAGGTGACATGGGCGTCGTAACTGGGCGTGCATCAAGCATCTTAGTCTTGGCCAAGAGATCGAGAATGTACCGTTTCTGCATGAGGTGAAGACCTTGTGAGGTCCTTGTTGCTTCAATTCCCAGAAAATAACTCATTTCACCAAGATCTTTTAGTGAAAAACGAGCAGCAAGATCCGCTATGAAATACTTAAGAATAGTAGTATTACTGCCCGTGATAAGCATGTCGTCGACATAAACAAGAACATACACTACATCTTGGCCATGACGTTTGATAAACAGGGAAGTGTCAGAGACCGAGTTGAGAAAACCTAGTTGGAGTAGATAGGAACGCAACTCTTGGTACCAAGCGCGAGGTGCCTGTTTCAAGCCATATAACGCCTTCCGGAGACGACAAACATAATGAGGATTGTCACGGTCAACAAAGCCAGGAGGTTGTTTTACATAGACCTCATCGGTTAAGGTGCCTTGTAAAAAAGCATTGTTGACATCTACTTGTCGAATACTCCACCCTTTGCTCACAGCAACATGAAGGACAGAACGAACAGTGGTGGATTTGATCACAGGGCTGAACGTCTCAGTAAAATCATGTCCATGTTGTTGGTGAAACCCTTTAGCCACTAATCGCGCTTTGTACCTGTCAAGGTCACCATTAGGTTTGTATTTAAGGGTGAATATCCACTTACATCCAATGACATTCTGACGAGGATGTGGAGGCACTAAGTGAAATGTTCCGTTCCGAGTCTAAGCATCTATCTCCTCACACATAGCTTTGCGCCAGTTCTGGTCCTGCAACGCCTCTGCAACAGTTTGTGGAATAACAGGGGACAATTTGGTTGTCGTGATAGTGAGGGACTGTTTCTTGTTTGGTTTGGTTTTTGTGACTGTGAGGGAGAGTTTTGTGTTTGGTTTGGTGATGTTATTTTTGGAACGTGTTTGCATCGGATGGATATTAGTGGGAGGTGGTGGAGGAGGGCTCTGGTTCAGTGATGAGGAAGAGGTGGTATTGGAAGACAGAGAGGAGGACGAAGCGGAGGATGGAGTTGTGAGATGTGCTATGCCATGTGAGGTGAGAAACGAACGCAACGCAATAAATTCTCCTCCATTGTCCGAATAAAGTGTGCCAATACGCCGTTTGAATTTGTTCTCAACGAGTGCCGTGAAGGCAATGAACACATCACGAACTTGGGACTTGAGTTTAAGGGGATAAAACCAAGTGTATCGAGTAAAGTGATCCACGATAATCAAGTAATATTTGTAGTTATCAACAGAGATGGTTGGAGAGGTCCAAACATCAGTATACAAATATTCAAGTGGGTGAGATGAGGTGATTGTGTTTGAATAAAAGGGAAGCTTATGACTTTTATTGATAGAGCAATCCGAACAGGATAAGTGTTTTTCAAGAGAATGAGATACGGGTAAAGAAAAAGAAGAAACAAGAGTTTTTAAAATAGATAAAGAGGGGTGCCCAAGTCGTGAGTGCCAAGAGATGAGGTCTGCTTTCGGAGAAGACGACGCAAACATGGAAACGGCAAACGGAGATGTGACTGGCCACTCGTACTGCTCGTGTTTAGTCTTGCCTTGGAGTAGCCGTGCCCCCGTGCTGAGGTACTTCACCTGAAAATGAGCAGGAAAGAATTCCACCGAGACACCATTAGTGTTACACATTCGATATACAGAGATAAGATTTTTCTGTACATGAGGAACACATAAAACATCATTTAAAGCAAGAGGGCGTTTTGGTGTAGGGAGTAAGGCAGAACCCGTGTGTGTGATAGGCATTCCAGACCCATCAGCAGTGAGAACCTCCTCACCACCATTGTATGGCTGGTGTAAAGCAAGGTTGTTCAAGTCCGACGTCAAATGATGCGTCGCACCACTATCAAGTAGCCAATTCCCGGGATTGTACTGTTGAGTAGCAGCCATGTTAGCTCTCGGTTGCCAAGGAGAGAACGAGGAGACCGAGGACTGATTTGAACCATACGGCATTGTGGAGAGTTGGAGTTGAGAACAACGACGTGCACTATGACCATAAACACCACACAATTGGCACTTTCCTTGATACGGCCGTGGTGTGTATTGTTGACGCTGGTTGCTGACATGATAGGGCTGTCCGTTATTGTTACCACGGTTGTTGTTGTTGTTGTTGTTGTTGGAACGACCATTGTTGTTTCGAGAGTTGTTGTTGTTGGACCCTGAATTTCCACGATAGCTAGCAACGTTCGCTGTCACCGGAAGAGACGAGATTGCCGCCTTTGTTGCAAGTTTAGTTTCATGGTTCAGGAGTTTTTCATGAAGCTCAGTCAACGTTGGCAAGGAATCCCTACTTTCAACTTGATCAATCACAGTCTTGTAGTCCTCAGGGAGACCCTCAAGAATGAACTCGATTTGTGCTTCCGGTTCAACAGGTTTGTTCAGAAGTGCAAGTTGATCAAAGCGGGTTGTAAAACCTTGAAAATAAGAATCAATGGATTTCGTACCCTTAGTCCAGTACTTGAGTTGCTGTCTCAGTTGCTGAACATGGCCATGGCTGGGATTGGCATAGGTGGAGGAGAGAGTCGACCAAATATCAGCCGACGTTTCCGCCTTGGAGAGAATCGGCTGAACAGAGATGGTGATTGCACCAAGAAGTGCGCTGTAGATTAGCTTATCTTGTCGTTTCCACATGACATAGTCATCATTTGCAGAGACAACACCATCGGTTGTGGTGGTCATGGCTGGAGCAGTGACAGATCCATCGACATAACCAGCTAGAGCATAACCATCCAAGAGAGCGTGAACTTGACGTTTCCACATAAGGAAGTTGGTGGTGGTGAGCTTGGTGACATTCGTCATATTGACGTTCATGAGAGTAGCACCATTGGAGACAGAGATGGTATCGGCAGTAGAGACAGAGGAGCCAATCGCAGACATGATGATGAGGTGAACGAAGAGGAAGAGAAGAGAAGAGATGTGAGTGGCGGCGATGAAAAATTTAGGTTTTTAGGTATCGTATTTGCTCTGATACCATGTGAATATGAAAGACTCCATCTTATTACATGTGAGACTTTACAATATATATAGGATTACACAAGTGACTAGGTTAATACAATTACATTTATATCCACATTATATACATCACTTACACTAGGATCGTAGAAACCGAAGATTCCCATGTCTTGATTCGAATACCGTCCGTCGTACCAATAAAAACAGTATCCCTAACCGTTAAGCCATTGACGTTCTTCTCGTCTTTATTCTTTCCCAAGCTCCCAATGCTGATCCCATGTCCTGGACCACACGTGACGTTATAGATATCAAAATTGTTGTTTCCAGAGAGCATTGCGATACAATCGTCTCCGGTGCTTATGTTAGTGTTTGAGATTCGTATGTTGCTTGATAAAGCTATTTTGATCCCGTCAGTGTTGGGGCTATCGCCGGGAGCTTTTATATTGACTCCTGTGATGTTGAAGTGATCAACGCTGAAGAAATTAAAATGTCCCGCTTTGCTGTTGAGTGATGTTATCCCTTCCAGTCTTGATTTCTTTACGAAATCAAACCCCATGTTCTGTCAAAATGTATTCAAACACCATGAAAATATGATCAAATTATTCATATGTAGAAGAAGTTGAAGAAACAGTATACTTACAATAGCAAGTTTGGGACAAAACTCATTCTTGCGACAGTCATTTAGTGACCAAGACATTTGTCCTTGACCGTCGAGGGTGCCGCTGCCAGAAACCGTGAGATACTCGATGTAACGGAAGTTGATCCATGTTTCCTTTTTGATGTCATTGTTGTTCGGAGGAGCCAACAAAGTCCCGTCGATGACAAATGAAATGGAACCAGCTGTGCATGGACCTGCAAACGATACAGCACCAAGATAGAATCTTCCATTCGGTATGTACATTTTGCTTGGTCCATTCCATGTGCATGCATCTTCCCATGTATTCGTGAACGCCTTTTTATGATATACATTAACAAGAAAAGTTCGATTATTTGATTAAATCATACATAATATCTATAGTAATTTATAAGATTCAAAACCGTTTTAGTCACAAAAACAAACGGAACAAACATATGTTCTTCAATAAGAATGTAATTATAATTTCATCATACTAAATCGAATGGGATGTAGTAGTTAAATTAAACTGGTTTGTAATCCAGTAAGATCAAGCAATCAGCCCGTTTTTATTATTTTAATTTGAACGAATCTAATAATATATGGAAAATGTATAAATAAATTGAGAAAAAGAAAAAAGCAGAGTAGAAGAAAATGTCAATACATTAGTGTTATCCGTTTTACCGTCACCTTTCGCACCATATCTTTGAACGTCAAATACTTTTGGTACAGTGGTCGGGAGACTTGTTGTGCCGACGATGAACAACATAGTCAAACCGGAAACCTTAAACACAAAATCTATACAAGCCATCTTCTTCTTCTTTCTTCTAGTATCTTCTATTCGTTGATCTCTCTTGTTTTGGATTATTTATTTAAAATAAAAAAAAAGAAATGCTTAAATTGTAAATGCTTAATTTGGAGACAATATTATATGATTACAGGTGTTAGTTTACTTATACAGATATAAATCTTAAGGAACTATATATGCTAAGGAATTTGGAAAAACAAATGAAGAAAAACGATTCTTGTTACCAATTTTGGGTGAAAACAACAATTTATTTCTAAACATCTGTATACTACAATTGATAAGAATTCATATGTTTTATCTGTCTTTGGGGTCTGTATCTTCTTGTGAGATTAGTTGTATCAAATCTTCTTAAAATCATGCAATGAATTACAAGAACACAGTTAGAAGAAGTATCATATAGTAATATTAATTTATTAGAAAAACATATATAAAGTAATAATGTTGGGACCATGACATTTTATTAATATATACTAGTGATCATATTTATGATTCTTTAGTATAAATCTATAGTTATTAATTATTATTATAAAAATGTTATTTTCTAATTGTTAAAATTCTTAAAAAGTGTAAATTGAGACAAATTTACAAACTAGTGTATTAGTTTTTTGAAAGTCATAAATTTTATAGTTTTGGAATTAAAATTTTAATATTTAGAAAAAAATATTTTCTGACAATGAATTACCAATTTCTATAGATGAATAAGCTGAGTACTTTGGTTTATGGCTGATTGCTTAATAAATCACTTTTGAGTTTCGATAGACGAGATTAATCTTCTAACTATATAGTTGTGTTAATACTAATAGCAATGTAAATAGTTTTATAATAGCTAATTAAACAACAATTTAATAAAATATTTTAACATGGTCTACGTTTTTGGACGATATAAGATTGTTGTGAATAACTTTTTTTTTCTTCTTTTTGTGAATAATTTTGTGATATAAGATTGTTGTGAATTTTTTGTGAATAATTTTGTGATTGTTGTGATATAAGATTGTTGTGAATATTTTAACATGGTCTACGTTTTTGGACGATATAAGATATAAGATTGTTCTACTTTTTGTGAATAATTTTATGTTATATTTTTTCACAGAAATTTGATAGCTCATTTTTACTTTGTGGCTATTTTAATTTGATTTGTTTTCTTTTTTTTTGGTCGGAATTTGATTTGTTTCAGTGTACATAATTACATATGATAGAAGATATAACAACAACATCGGTCGCGTCTTGCTAATCTGAAGGCTGATGTGATGTGATTCCATAAATTCCATGAAATAAGTAAGGCGTGCTTTGTTTGACCCATTGCATGATCCTCTTCGTTAATGCTCAGTCAGACAAACAAATAATAACAACAAAAACAAAACAAAAAAAGTCTATTTATTTGGTCCGTCAAGGCTGCTTGAATTTTTATTTTTAACAGTCAAACCTGTCTCACCCGTACAAGAATCACCTCGAAGACCAATAATACAATTATTGCAATGACCATATATATATGTATATATATCGCCAAAGACCATATATTTTCCCTATTTATTTTATTTTTAGATACAGTAAGTGCTATATATATAGTATTATCCAACTTGTGCACATATATATACACCAAAACAAAAACAAAAAACGTTCAGATTTGTATTGTATATCAATAATTTAGTAACAACGAAAAATATTGGTGTAACGTAGCAACAAAATAAACCTCCACATATTGCTTATGTATATACAAATTCTTAAAATAAGTAATCAGTCTCCAGTTTCGGTTGACCCCGCCGTTACACAAAAAAAACTCTACTTAAAATATTATTTTTTATATAATATTTTCTATAGTTTACAATTTCTTTAGTACGTAGAAAATTTGGGCCACTCCTGATATCAGTATGTATATATGTATTATAAAATGAAAAGAGTCCTCTTTGATTCATAGGATCGTAACACCATGCGTAAGCATTTTTCTAGAATCAAAAATATCATTCGATTCGACTTATATATAACTATATATATATAATAATATAATTGTTCTTTTCCGATACCCCTTATACAAACTATATGCTAAAAAATAATTAATGAACAATTAGCTCTTATCCATATAACAGCTTTACCCCCATGATAATAAATGTTTCTACTTTCTAACTAATAATTAAAAATCTTTTTTTTTGGAAAATAATTAAAAATCTTTAACATGACAAAGTTCAGTCTTCCCCACACACATATATATATATATATATAATTATTTATATATTTTGTTTTCCTGTGTGTGTGTGTATATGTATTTATCTATCTACATATATATAAATACAAGAAACATCCGGAGGAGATTCAAAAGGCAAAACTACTCAACAGAGCAAAAACCAAAACAAAAGAAAAATCAGAGTTAACTAATTTTGTATTGTGTTTTTCCAAAATTCATAGAAAACAAAAGAAGAATGGCTGGAGTGAGATCTGAGCCGATGAAGGTTGTCTTCATAAACACACAGTACGTTCAGACAGATGCTAGGAGCTTCAAGACGGTTGTTCAAGAACTCACGGGTAAAAACGCCGTCGTATCCGATGGTTCTTATGAGTTCTCCGGCCAAGGCTACGGCGGTAAAGATTCATCACAGCGGTTTTGCGGCGTAGGAAAAGATGCAACAGATGGAGGTGTGGAGACGACGGAGTTCGATAGCTTTTTCAGGGAGATGCCTCCCGTCGGCGAATTGTATCATCTTTGGTCAGACAACAACAATTGACTCACTGATAATAATTCGTTCCCTATTTTCACTATTCGGTCTTATTAAGGGCCCATTGGGTTTTAATCTTAGTATCTCTCAAGCCTTTGTAAAAAAAATATACGCGAGTGATCCAGTTACTTCCCCTTTACTTACTCCCTCCTCTAGACATGTCACCATTTTTTGTTTTTGTTTTTGCTTAATGCATTATTAATGTTATAATGTATATAAGGAAAGATTATGCACTTTTTCAAATTATATGTAGCAGAGTTTTACATACAAATTTCCTTTTTCAGCCACATTTATCTTACTATTATAGTATTAAAGACGGTTTTTTTTTCCTCTAAGTGTATTATTTTTATATATTTTTCTCTATTTACACATATTTTACGACAGTAACAAACGTCGAAATGAATAAGACAAAAAAATCAATGCGTGGAGAAAGTTGACTCGCGAGAGGGGCGCGTGGAAAGCAACGAAGGAGGAAGAGTGAAAAAACAAAAAAAAAGATGACGAGACGACGATTCATTACTTTGGTATCCGACTAACTCCACCGTTTCTTTGTTCATTTCATCCATTTATCATCTTCTTCGGAATTCGCCGTCGAAATTTTCAATCTTTCAGTCAAAAGAATCGGTAAACAAAGGTATTCATTCATAAAATTCAAACATTTCTTCAGATACGAAAAACTGTTTTTCATTTTAATCTTTCCGATTACACACATTGTACGTAGATGTACACAACACCATTACTGTACATCTCTCTCTCTCTCTGACAGAGGAAAAGTTCTGATCCTCTATTATCGGTATCTAAGTGCCTCGAGATTCTCCACTCCATTAAGGTATATTCGCCGTCTCTTTAACTTTCTTACTTATTATATTCAAGGGGTTTGAAATTTTAGTCCTGTGACCTTTCAGTTGAATGGAGTTGTTGTATTGATTCTTATCAAAGGTTGGATATTAGGGGTTTGATCTTTGTTAGTTTCGGAAAAAGGAATCATTTTTGGATTGCTACGAGCTCGTAATTGCGTGTGTGAATTGTAGAAAGTAAACAAATTTGATTTCTTGTTGGTATTAATTGTGTGTTCTTATGTCTCTCTATGATCTTAGTTTTAAGAACATAAAGCATTGAACATACAATTGTGATGGGTAATAAGCTGGTAAGGAAGAGACATATTGTGGAGGAAAGATACACAAAGCCACAACAAGGTTTATACATGAGCAAAGATGTCGACATTAAAAAGCTTAAGAAACTCATCTTAGAGTCTAAGCTTGCTCCTTGTTATCTTAGAGTCTAAGTTTGCTTCATATTCAACAAGATGAGAATTGACCAACTCTCATGCAATTTTTTCTTCTTGTTCTTGTGTTTTCTAATAAACAATATAACTACTAACTCCAATATAATTTCAGCGAGTTTTTATTATTTTGTGATTGATCCATCATGCAAGAAAAAAAGAAAGGAGAGGGTGATAGAGGGATGCAGAAAGGGAGTAAAAGAAGAGTTAGTTAGTAGTTGAGGAAAGGACGACAAAAATGAAGATTCACATGCTTTGGTCTCTTTGATATTAAATGAGAATATTGAAGTGTGGTCGTCATCTTTGGGAGGGTTTTAAGGGTTTTAAGCCTTTTAGGGATTAACTTAGGGAAGTTCATCCACACTCACATGCTCTTGCCTTCGATTCTTGAAAATATTAAGTACACTTCACCTTTTGGTCTCTTTAGAGTTTAGAGCGTCTACTTACATTTAATTGCCCACAAGTAACAACCGTTTTGTTTTCTCTCGTTTTCGATTTTTTTTTTTTGTTTTCCTTGAGAAACATCAGATTGGTTTCTCGACGTGTTGGAGATCACAAAAAGAAACGTCGAAATTAGAGAAGGTTTAATTATTAAACTAAATAAAAGAGGTTTGTATGTAAAAATTGAAATTTGTAGAAACCCGACAAAAGGAAACAAGAGTGTCAGAAAAATTGATATGTAAGTAAAATTACATGTGTGCGTATTTATGATATAAACTATATAGAAACCAAATATTAATGTATGACACATAAATAATATTCACATTCACGTATATGCGTTTGTCTAGGTATAATATCTTGATTAATCAAGTATCCCACATAGATGGGTTTTAGTGCCATTCATGAACTTTAGAATAGAGTAAAGCACATTATGACATCCTCATCATTGTAATTTAATAGATTATTGTCCATAATTTAAAAAGGCACGTATACTGATATAAATGTATAGGGAATATGGGCGGTTACAAGAACTACAAAACAAATTATCGGGTGTGATAGAGGAAATAAAGAAGAAATAAAATTCACTCTTGTACTACAATTTTTTTTTTGGTCTTCAATTAAAGCATTTTACATAGATATAGTTTGCAATTAAAAAAGAAAACGAGGGATCGTATATATATACATGTTGGTTTTTTTTTTTTTTTGTAAACGATATACATGTTGGTTATGTGGACGTTATTACTAGATTTTTTTATAAAAAAAATTTAAATGATACTTTTTTGCGCTTCCCTACTTCTCCTAACCAATGGTCCCTCGATTTTAAATCCTCTCGCTAGGTCCAGTTTCCACTCAGCTTTATTTCAAATCTTCAAATATGAAAATAATAATAATAATAATAATAATACTATTCATTTTCTTTATCTCTCTCTCTCTAGGCTTCTTGGATAGTGAGAGTGTCTTCCAAAATAAAGCTGTCTGTTTTGAAAAGCTGTACATGCGTTACTCTACATCAACTCTCTCTTCATCTCTCTCTCTCTCTCTCATCTTCTTCTGGTTTTATGTTCTTTGTTCCTCTTATTAACTCACAATCAGCCAAACGCAAATCTATCTTTTTCATTTTCACACTCTCACTCTTTTGACCATTTCTAATCTTGATTCTTTTTTTAGTCACCTCCCTTTTGTTGGATTTTTTCAAATGCGAAAGTAGACCTCATCTTCTATTAAGGTAAGTTTTACTTCTTTTATTTTCTTCTGTTGGATCGTCGTTCGTTGCTGTAGACGGAAGTTGTCTAACTTCTCCAGCTTTGCAAATTCTCTGTTTCTGGTGAAACTTTTTAAAAAGATTACTAGTCTTTTTTTGTAAAATATACACGCGCTTTTGACGGCGCGTGATTTCATTCTTATCTCAGTTCTCCGGAGAGTTTCTCCCGACATGGAGTGATGTTGGCTTCGGTAGTTTCAGTATATAATAAATGACTTGTGTTTTCTTTTTTCTTTTTTTGCATATTTATTCTATACCTTCAGATTTTCATAAGCGCTCTCCTCCATAAACCTTCGAACTTCCTCCAGCAACTTTTGGTTTCTCTCTTGTGTTAATAATAATGCCAAGACCAAGGTAAAACAGGTTTCGACTATAGTTTATATATTTGTTGCAATTTGATTTTGGATTCTCCCACAGTAAGTTAATTATGTGACTACTAATGATTGGTTTTGGGGTGTTTTGTTTCTTTAGAGTCTCAGACTTGTCTCAGAGGCAAGCTCCAAGGCTGAGGACCTCCTCCTCCACTTCTGTCTCCAATCATCCCAACCGTCTCATCACTACGGACCGGAGTTTCAAGCTTGGTGTTGACCGTAGATCTCCTAGAAGCGGTGGACCTCACAGTGATCCTCTTGGACAGAAGAAACTTGGTGGCCGCATATCGGATCTAGAGTCCCAGTTAGGACAAGCGCAAGAGGAATTGAGATTGCTCAAGGAGCAGTTGGCTAATGCTGAAGCTGTCAAGAAACAGGCTCAAGATGAGCTTCATAACAAGTCGAAGAAACCAAACCCTCTGGCTCGGGTGGACGAATCTGCATCTGATGAGGCTGAGACAATTGATAGAGATGACATCCCGGGTGATGCGCTGAAAGAGACTGATGTGTTTGAGGTTCCTGTTGAGAAGATTGCGGTAGAGGAAGAAGAACCGAGAAGCGGAAATCAAGAATTGGTTGCAAAGGAAGATGAGATCAAGATGTTGAAAGCTAGACTCTATGATATGGAGAAAGAACATGAATCACTAGGCAAAGAAAACGATAGCTTGAAGAATCAGTTGAGTGATTCGGCTTCAGAGTTGTCTAATGTGAAAGCTAATGAAGATGTGATGGCTTCAAAGGTGAGTCGGATTGGGGAGGAGTTAGAAGAAAGCAGAGCAAAGACGGCTCACCTGAAGGAGAAGCTCGAGTCCATGGAAGAAGCGAAAGACACTTTAGAGGCTGAGATGAAAAAGCTTAGGGTTCAAACCGAGCAGTGGAGGAAGGCTGCGGATGCTGCAGCTGCGGTTCTTTCTGGCGAGTTCGAGATGAACGGTGGGGATCGCTCTGGGTCAACTGAGAAATGTTTTGTAGGTGGTGGGTTGTTTGACACGACCACGGCTGGGTTTATTGAACCGCCAGGAATGGCTGATGATTCTGATGATGGATTGGGAAGTGGGAAGAGGAAGAGTTCTGGTATGAAGATGTTTGGTGAGTTATGGAGGAAGAAAGGGCAGAAGTGAGATGCAGATTGTGGAGTGTGATTCAAGAAATGGTGTTCTGTTTTTTCTTAGGATGCATTTTGCTGTACTTATCTGGAGAGTTTTGTAAGTTGGTCAGCTTCATCAGAGGCCAACTATCACATCCAAATCAAATTGCAGTTTCTTCTTATCTACAAACACAATTTCATGAACAAATTTCTGGTAATGTGTATCATAATATGACCTCAAACTTTTTTGATAGATCTCATATATGAACAATACAAGGATGGGGTTTGCAAAAAAAAAAAAAAAAACAGTACAAGGATGAGATCCAAATCCAATTCTAAAACAGCGATAGATCTGTGAAAGTGAAAGTGTTAATCATGTTGAGATAAAACAACCAATCAATCCTCGTCTTCATCACTACCATAGTTTTGGAATAAAGACACTAAACTGGCATTAGCCACACCATTGCTCTTCTTCTCCTCTAGTTTTGCAGAAGTTGGTTGAGATTGCTTCTTGATGACTGTTATGTGAACGGATTTGAAAGGTTGTTTGCTGGTAGCTTGTTTCTTGGGCTCCTTTGGTTTATCTGATTGAAAATGGAGAACCCGTTATAAATAATTTAACCGAAATATAGGACATCAAAGTCGTAAACTTCAAAAGAAAGATTGAAAACCCACCTGCAGAAGTAGTCAAAATATCCGTGGGATTGCTTGGATTTTCATCTGCCTTTCTCTTCTGTATCCAAATTAAAAAGAATTAACAGTTAGTCGTGATTCAAAAACAATCGACACATGGTGATAGAATGAGACATATCTGAAAGAAAAATGTTTCTATGGAGGAAACCTTTGAAAGATTTGAAGATGATCCTTTCTTCTCCTTCTGATGGCTGGGAGAATCATCGCTATCATAGCTATCATCATCATCATCAAAGTCGTCATCGTCAATCCTCCTTATAATTTCTTTCTGTTTCTGCATTACAGATGAAAAGGAAATGAAAGAAGTTTAGCAAAGCTAAGTATCATGTGGAAAACCAACAAGGACACAAGAATGATATGAAAACTTACACCAAATATAGACTTTATAACTGCTTCATCTTCCTCTTCTATTCGTTTTACCTGTCAAAAAAAAAAGAACCATTATTGCCTCAGTCAGCGACAGAACTCAACATACCAATCATTTAGACAACTTTAATCGAGAGAGATACATTACGATATAAGGTTTGCAAAGAGCAAAATGGCTTGCTTATTAAGAAGCGACAAAGTTTGGAAATTCTGTTTCTTATCAACTTAAAAATTAGTATGTCTATTAACAAGCAAACAAAGGGACAGGAACAGACCTTCTCAGCACCTGTTCTTTGCAAGGCCTCCAGCATTGCATCTACGCTCACAGTAGCATGTCTAGACTGTAAAAACAAAAAATGAAAAGTAAATCAGTACAAAAACAATTATCTTGCAGTGTAACTAAAGAATGAAGAATCAAATCTCAGAGTTAAACACTGTGATCAAGAGAGAGAGCAAGAAAGGAGAAGATACTAAAGGCATCTGGCTCATACCTTCATTGATTTCATTTCATCAAGTGCAGCTATAATGTCCATTTCTCTTTTAGAGTCCAAAGTTCTGTTCTCCAAGGACTTCATCGCATCCCCCATCTCCTCAGCATCTCTTTTCTGTTTATCCTTATCAACCTCCTGCACAGAAGAAAATAGGTGTAAATTAGTATACTAGAGTGTACATCAATATCACGCACAACATAATCCTCAAAACTACATGTCTGAAGTCCTTACCTCATCTTCTGCACGCCAGGGTTCATAATTACGAGATGCCCCAGATTCGACAATGTAATCAGAATTCTGTGGATCTGTCTTCATTGTCAGCTCTGCAGAACACTTGGTGCACTTGAAGTAGAATCTAAATATTTGAATCCCAAGATACGTCTGCATGTAAAAAAAAAAAAAAAAAAAACTTCGGTTAGAATAAGCCACAAAAATAACACTAAGAATAACTATTCAACAATTCGAACTAGTTTATGGTAAAGACAAATCCTTGCTCAAAAACGAAATAAGCAATATCAAGGGCTCAATATTTATACTAGACGTAGAAAATAGCTTATTTACCACCAGCCTAAACAACAGCTCAATTTTCTCGAAACCCTAAACCCCCAAATCTGAAATCGTTTCCAAGATAAGTCTCATATTCACGAACAGACGAAAATAATCTCGATATTTCTTCACTGAAACCCTAAAAATAAAATTCAGAGTCATTCCTAAGCATCCATATCGATACTGTACGCTAAGAGCTACACAGATTACGAAATTGCATTGAACGGAGATCGAACAAAAAATCAAATGATTCAATTACCTCGCCAATGACGTCTTCTTTACGGGAATTGAACTTGGTTCCCTTGTAGATATAATTTCCGCAGGTACCGCATCGGACACTCATTGGAAGCATCATACGAACCTTGATCTGCTGGTTCTTCGGTCGCCGGAGCCTGGGAAGCTTCGCAGGATCAAAATCCGGCGGATAATACTTGTTTAGCACCTTCCGTTCTCCCATATCGCCTCTTTCTTCCTCCTCCTCGAGCTTCTTCTTCTGAGCAAAATCACAGGAAAAAGGAAATTTCTCGTTTTGACGTTACGCCCTCGCTCTAAATCGTCTTCTTCTATTTCTCTTAATATATAAATCCGAATGAAGCACCGTCGCTACGATAAATCGAGTTATGGGCTTGGGCCTGAATTATCGGGCTGTGATCAATATTAGGATAAATTAACCGGGTCGACCCAAATTACCGGGACCTCGTCCGGGTTATCGGTATCTTCGATCATAATGATATTTACTCTTTGGCTCTTTGCCATCAATGGTGTGAGTGTATTGATATGACATAAGATGAGAAGTTTTTATTATGATTTGCTATAAACTACTGTATGATCTAAAATCTAAATAATTGAGAAAAAATCGAGAAATTTCGAAAAGGAAAGGACAGATAGCTAGAATTCTATAAATAAAGCTGTGAGAACTGAGAACACGTTGTTCAGTTCCAAGATTAGAAAATACAAATACAAGTATACTACACGAATGACAAAAGTATACTTTACAATACAACAAGCTTTTTCAACATTGGATGAAAATAATGGATGTGGAAATATCAATTTTATTGTACATTTGATGCATGAATATTGAAGTTACATAAACATGGAAATTTATACAATTTACCAACCACACTGGAAGTGTTGTGACCAATTCTTTTATTATCTCTCTCCCTCAAACTTTGCTTGCTCCGGTGGCTGATGAGCTACATCATAGGTTGCATGAAGACCAACAAATAGGTAGTACACAAGCATCACCATGGTACAGATAATGAATCTCAAGAATGCTACATAACCTAGTGATCCGATAAGGAAAAGATTCATGGCGATTGAAAAAGATGGCAGCCACGGAACAAGGGGGACTCCCCAAACCTTAGGAACACGGGATTTCGGTAGCAATGCCAATCCCAAAGTGCCTATAAACCAAATAACTCCAGTGACTGCATAAGCGATCCAACTTCTCACGCCTGCGTTCCAAAACGCTGATACTCCAATGGAAGAAGCAACGATTACAAACAGAAAGCCAATAAACTTTAGCAAACGGGTCTCAGGAGTTACATCTTTCACGTAGTAACGTCTCACGAGCAATGCTACTGCCACGAGCGTGAAAATGAAGAGGGTAGCAAAGGAGAAGACGCTTGATAAAACATCTAAGCTGGTGAAAAAGGAGATTATTGCGCTGAGTATAGTTACAAGGAGAGTAGCATAGATAGGGGTTCCTGTTTTGGGATGAACCAAAGCAAACCATGGAGGAATCATATGAGACCGAGCAATCTGAGTGGTGTACCGAGCTTGACCTAGAGATCCAACAAGCAGGCTTGTGGTCATGCCCTTTAAAGCGCATATACCAACCAAGTATTTGGCCCATTTCATCCCAATTTGAGTAAAAGCAACAGAATAAGCTGCATTCACATCGATTTCTGTATATTTCACCATCATAGTCAAAGCCAAAGCCATCAAGCAGTAAACAACAGTGATCATAGACATCGAACCAACCAAACCAATTGGTATATCTCTCGATGGTTTCTCGGTTTCTTCAGCCATGTTTGCCACCATATCAAACCCAGTGTATGACCAGTACACAACTGCAGCTGATTGAACCACACCTTTCGCACCATAAGGGGAAAAAGGAACCAAATTGGAGGTTTTTGAATGGGTAAACCCCACAACAACAATGAACCCAATAACACAAATAGTGACGATAGAAGTAATCAAATTCAACCAAGAAGTCCTCTTTGTTCCAGTCATGGCAATGCCATTAGCAACTAAAAGCACAGCAACAGCAACCGGATCCAGCAGATCAAACCCTTTAGCAAAGGAATCGACTTTAATCCGGAAGTAATCAGAATCATTCTTGACCAAACTAGCAAGATACGAAGACCATGACCTCCCTAATCCAGCAGCACCAACAATAGCCTCGAGCAGGATATTCCCAGCAGCAATAAAGGCGATAAAATCCCCCAATTCAATCCTAAGATAAGAGAAAGAACCTCCAGCGACAGGAATCTCAACTCCAAACTCAGCATAACAGAGAACTGAGAGCAAAGCAGATAAACCGGAGATAGCGTAAGAGAGAACAACGGCAGGACCCGCTCCAGTCCGAGCCTCTTGACCCGTGATGACGAATACACCGGAGCCGACGACAGAACCAAAGCTAAGCCAGAGGAGATCCCACCAAGTGAGACAACGACGCATAGGGTTCTCGCTTTCGCGGCGTGCTGCATCGAGCTCGTAGGCGTCGGAAGAACGAGAGAGAAGACGATCGGCGAGGCGAGGACAAGTGGCGGAGAGAGCTGATTTGTAGGAAGAGAAGCTCTGGAATGAGAATTCCGGGAAAAAATCCTGCTTTCTCCATCTCCAGTAGCTCCTCCCTCGTTGACTTAAGCCATCGGATCCCGACTCGCGCTGCTGGTGAGCTTCCATTGAAGCAGGATCGCCGTATTCGTTCGTCTCCTAAAACAGTAGTGGAAAGATTAATGATAAAAAAAACTAAAGCGTCAATAATCTAATTAGAAAATAGTTATGGACTGAATTGTAAATAGTCAACTAATTGTAGTTAAAATTCGTGCAGTGTTCACTGAAACTGAAAGGGGAAGAGAGGTGGTGACAGTACAACCCTAAGCCGTGGGACCCACGCTTAGGTTCTTTAAATAACAAATTGAATAAAAAATAAAAAAATATCCAACGGTCAGGATTCGAAGATGCGAGACTCATTTCTCCTTTTGAGATGAATCGTACAAAGGGTAGGACCCACGTTTTCTGACAAGTTTTGATCAAATGGCTAAATGCCACGTGACAAAATGTCTATTACGAGATCATGCCACGTTCGTTGGATGAGCGAGCGAGCTTGACTCAATTTTTCTTATTTTTTATTTATCAACTTGCCTGTTATATACAGAGTTGAGTAATTTATATATATATAAAAAATACTTACTAGTATATTTGGTCGTAAGAGAATTTTTTCTTTTTAGTTTTTATTGTGCTTTTGATTTGACAATAACAGATTTTGTTATTTACCTTTCTGATGATATATATAATTTGCTTTTCGAGTATTTTTTGCTGATATTCTACGTGACGTTTTAACTACTGTATCAAAAAAGTAAGATTAGTTATTATTATTAGAAGATTCATTATTACAACCGGATATAGTCGTAATAGAATTTTGTTAACAGTCATTTTCATACTTTTTTTATATAAAAAAGTGTCTTAACGTGAAACAAATACTGTTAAATTTAATGTGACATGTACATATTTTAGGACAATGATGGACTTAATTTAATTACCCGGGTGTTAAAAACATAAAAGTATTTCCGGAATTTATGAATTAACTGGGTACCTATAATCTGGGTTATTAACCAAATTAGCCCTATAATATAAGTATCTACTTTCCTTTTTTATGATTTGGTTAAATTAGTTTTTTTGTTTTTGTTTTTGTTTTTAGGTTCTTTTTTTTAACAGCATCCTGAAGGACGGAGAGAGACAGAGTATGCGGAGAGTGTGAAAACGAAGAGCATAAACTACACGGGACGAAGAGAGAGAAAGTGTGTGTTTTAGAAAGAGAAAGAGAAAGAGAAAGAGAAAGAGATAGAGAGAGAGAGAGAGACAAAGAGACTGTTTGTGTCTTCTTACCCATTCGAGGAATCAAAGCATCTTTTTTCGAGCTCAAGAAGACGAGAGGCTAAAAGATAAGGGAAGGGGCTGAAAATTAGGGTTTTTATTCCTTTCTTTTTTGCATTCAAGCTCGCTAAATAAGGTATGCTCCAAAATTTCCTTTTATTGAAGCTTCAATCTTTCCTTTTTCTTCGGGCTTGTGTATTCTCTTCTTATAGTTTCAATCCTTGTCAAATTTGTTCTTGAGCTACTTCTCTAATAAGGGTTTTTAGGAAGGCTTTTACTAGCCTCAGATTTTATGTTTAGTGAAGTTTTTAGGAGAGTTCATTTATTGAGCTGCTTTATAGAATAATGTGCTTGCTTCTTTACGGATTTGGGGTTATTTAGTTGGATCGCGAGTGTTTCGCGCTAGTTTTCGGCAAATGGTTTGTTTTTTGTCTGAAATTTGGGATTTTCCGGACTCATCTCCGACTACTTTGCTTTGAATCGGGGATTTAGTGAGGTTCTTCAGTGAGATGCTTTACTCAGTTTTGGGGTTTTGTTGGATTTGGGGGATCTGAGGTAAATTACCTGTCGCTTTTGTAAAAATGTATGAACAGAGACTATATCAAATTGGCTTACGGCTCTCGACTTCTATTCAATCTGTATTTTGTTTCCTAAGATTAAATGTTTCTTATGATGGAATAATGTGAGTAGAAATTGAACTAATTCTGTTGGTGTCTTTTTTTTAATTTCAGTGATATCCATCTTTCGAGTCATCAAGTAGCCTCACACCCTAAACCTGGAAATAGATCAGAAATTTTAGGCATTATGGTTATCTAAATTTATGTAGTTTGAAGGGACTCTCACCAGCTGTGATCGGGTCATGAATGCGTGTCTGAGGACATGCTCGAACCAAGGGGAGCGGACATACCAATATTGTTCCTGGTTTTGGTTGTACTTCCTGTGGTAGCTTACATATTATTAGGAAAATGGAGTGATATTTCTGAAAATAGAGGAAGGGCTAACCTGCTGGCTCAGATGGCAGCTGAAGAAGCTTTAAGAGCTGAGACCGTGGTTAATGCAAATAGGGATGTAAGATTTGAGACTCTGGCTACTGAGGTTAGGGCTCCGAGAACTAAGTCAAAGACTGTTTCTGCTTCCAGTGGTACTCTAAGAGCCGAGTTTGTGACTGGTGTGAGTGGGACTGTAGCAGAGCAGAGATCTGATTCCGTGGCTGCTACATGTGGGGTCCCAGATGTGGCTCCTTTCAATAATAATGAGTTACATGTATGTGCAAAATGTTTTGCTCCTGCTAAGACACGTTGCTCGAGATGCAAATCTATTAGATACTGGTAGGTTTACACATTGTTCTTATTTCAAATACGTTTCTTGCTTTTTCTTTCTATCTCTTTGAGATTTTTACTCATATATGTTTTGAATTTTGACGCTTGTAGCTCTGGGAAATGCCAAATAATTCACTGGAGGTTAGCTCATAAAGATGAATGTGTCCCGGTGGAGACTTGTTCTTCTTCATCTGAGAGGGTTTCCTTTGAGAAAGATTCTGTTTTGTATGACCATGGCATGGATTCTACAATGTATAGTAACAATACTACGCAGGCAGCAAAGGGAAAAACTTCGAAAAGCTCAGTGGATTTTGCAAGCTTGGGTATCTCTCAGATTGATATTACGCCACAAGTCAACACGCAAGGGAGAAAAAGCGTTGGAAAACAAAATTCTTCCAAGTCCAACCGAGAATCATCTAGAAGAGACTGTGCTAATGTATTTGATTCTTCTGAAGAGGTTTCTCGCTGTGAAACTGCTTGTACTGGTGGGGACAACAAAAAGAGTCACACTAAACATAAGGTAAGCAGTTAATGAACTATTTATCTCCCTGTATTAAATAACCGAAGCAAAACTGTGTCTTACTAAAATTATCAACACTGTGTTTGAATTTAGACCTGGTGATTTTGCTTGCAGTCCAGAAGCAACAGCTATGCTGTGGAAACAAATCCTAGAAGGCATTCTGTTGACAGCTCTAGTGTGCAAATGAAAGGACAACCTTTTGTAAGTGGTATGCAGGAAAGTCACGAACATGGAAACAATTTGGGAGCAAGAAGCTCTTTTGGTTTCCCAAACACACAATTTCCTGCTAACGGTGAGACCTAATACCAGTAGCTGATAGAAGTTACTCTAGTTGAGGCTTAATCATTTTGAGATTTGCATCTTCTAATGTGGGTGGAATTAAATAGGGACCAGAGCTGCTGCATTGCCCAAAACAGTTGTTAACAAATCTGGAGAACAATCATGCACAGACACAAGTAAGAAAGGGCAAGTTGCTGCAGTATCACGTGAGTGTCTCTGATATTTTGCTTCGACAGAAATATTATTTTGTAAAGTGTCTCATGTTTGTATATATAATCCAGAGGCTATTAGGTCTAAGGATACTGGCGTCGCTGAAGAAAGCAATGGCATCTCCGCAAAGATGGGAATAATGAAGATGATGGGTTTAAGAAATTCTACAAAGCATGAAGATCGACATAAGAACCTGAAGGTTAGTTCCCTGGCGATAGTATGTCTTTCTAATTCAATTTGTATTAGTTTCCTACTTTTCTGAGTCAATAACTCTTTTGTTTCAGATGCTTTTTCCATACGAGGAATTTCTGAAATTCTTTCAGTGTGAAGTGTTTGATTTATCACCTAGGGGCCTTGTAAATTGTGGAAACAGGTATTGTCTCATATACTTCTTTACATTCAGCTTAACTGCAAATAGACGATTCTTGTCAAACAGTTCTAATTATCGCTGTCTATACTTTCGAAATTTACTATCATCTTTCTTCTCCAGTTGCTATGCGAACGCGGTCTTGCAGTCCTTAACATGTACAAAACCACTCGTTGCTTATTTGCTTCGACGATCACATTCAAGATCATGTAATACTTTTCCCAATTAATTTTGTAGCATAAAGTGTTGCAAATTTAGTTTACTACGTCTGACAAAGCTATGTTATTCTTTTGCAAATAGGTTCTGGGAAAGATTGGTGCCTTATGTGTGAACTGGAGCAACATGTGATGATGCTTAGAGAATCTGGAGGTCCACTATCTGCCAGCAGAATTCTCTCTCACATGCGAAGTATAAATTGTCAGATTGGGGATGGGAGTCAAGAAGATGCGCATGAGTTCTTAAGGTCTTCTTCGTGTCCTTTCAGATCTGAGTTTGTGGATCTTTTCTTCTGAATGTGGTTATATTATACTGTTTATGTCGTTTCTCATGAAAATTACCATATGTTTTTACCTGGATGTAGGCTTTTGGTTGCTTCAATGCAATCCATTTGTTTGGAGAGGCTTGGAGGTGAGACTAAAGTGGATCCAAGACTGCAAGAAACAACCTTAGTTCAACATATGTTTGGTGGACGTCTCCGCTCAAAGGTGTTTAAATCTCTTGGCTCATAATCTATCTCTACTTTGACTTTACACATTCTCATTGTTTCTGCTGCTTTCTCTATAAAAAAACAGGTGAAATGCTTGAGGTGTGATCATGAATCAGAAAGATACGAGAATATAATGGATCTCACATTAGAGATATACGGTTGGGTAGAATCTCTTCAAGACGCCCTGACTCAGTTTACTAGACCGGAAGATCTCGATGGAGAAAATATGTATCGATGCAGCAGGTTAGATCCAGAAACCAAATAGCCTGTCCTTCTTTGTGGTATGAAACTAAATTGTCATTTTGTGAAAAATGCTTTAAAAATAGGTGCGCTGGATATGTTAGAGCAAGGAAAGAATTGAGCATTCATGAAGCACCAAACATTCTCACAATTGTTCTTAAGAGATTCCAGGTATCATTTACTTATACATGACTACAGATTTTACTCAGTCGATTACTCTTTTTTATATATATCTGAATGTACTTTTAAAACTCTTGTGCATACAGGAGGGAAAGTATGGGAAAATAAACAAATGTATAACTTTTCCTGAAATGCTGGACATGATTCCTTTTATGACAAGAACTGGTGATGTTCCTCCACTTTATATGCTTTACGCTGTCATAGTTCACTTAGATACTCTCAACGCATCTTTCTCGGGTCATTACATTTCCTATGTCAAAGATTTGAGAGGGAATTGGTACCGAATTGATGATTCCGAGGTAAAACTTTTTTTCCATCCCCCTCTTACTTAAAGCGGTAAGCGAACTGTCTATGAACTTTTGCAATTTTTTTTGTAAACTCTGCAGATTCATCGAGTTCCGATGACTCAAGTTATGTCAGAAGGAGCTTATATGTTGTTCTACATGAGGTAAAGAAATACCGGTTTGCCACTTGTAATGGTTTTTCTCCTGTTTGCGGTCATGAAATCTGGATAAACATTTTTTTGCAGATCTTGTCCACGTCCTCAGAAAGGAGAGCACAACGGAAAAGCTCAGGTTCGCCATATGCCACCAAGATACGAGATGAAGGAACAGAGGAAATCACCGGTGAACCGCTTCAAACAGAGAGGAGACCACAAGAACACCGAGTCATCATCAAGTGAATGGTCTCTCTTCACGAGCTCAGACGAAGCTTCTTTCACCACAGAATCAACCAGAGACTCTTTTAGCACCATAGACTACACAGATGTTTGCCACGTCGCAGACTCTTCTTCTCCATTCTCCATCTTCAACAACTTATACCACAATGTTGAGCCATCGCCACACAACACTGTTGCTTGCAGAATGTTCTCAGGAACCAAACCTGAAACCCGGTATTTCGTCGAGGAAGAAACAAATCACAACAACACGGTCGTGCTGGACACATCACCTTCACCATCAACATCAACATCAACATATCCAAGTCAATCACCAGCACCGTATCCGTCCCATGATTATTACGAGCAGAGTATGTATGTAAATTACGAGACTAACCCAGAATTTAACAATGGTCAGGATCAGGATCGAACTTACAGTTACTGGTAGTAAGTAGAAGAGACTAGAGAGGATTCTGTTTTTGAACCTCCCTGATTTTTAAATATGTTTAGAGATCTCTTTAGGGATACTTAACTCGAGTGCCCTGAGATTCTTTTTGTCTTTAAATCATCTGTATTTGGTATCAGGGCAAATGTTTAAATCTCATTTTATCAAATTACCCTGTTTCTGTATCTCTGTTTCTGTAAACTTTAAATCGGGAAGAAAAAAAAGGTTGACCCTTTACAGATTAACCTCTTATTTTATTGAAAAGCCTTCTCACAAAACAATGAGGCTTAAACGTGCATTTCAAACGGTAACCAAATCTCATTGACCCGACCGGTGAACTCGAAAGGTGAGTTATACTGAGCCACCGTGTAAGCTGAATCCGATCCGACACCACCTTCTTTTCTGCTTTTGGCTATTGCATTAGCCCAGGCCGTACCTTTGAGGCTGGAGTCCAGCGCCGCCGCTTCTTCTCCGACGGTGTCATCGGAGACGAAACCACTGAATTGTCTGACCGCCACGTACCTAGGATCCCATTTCTGGATATGAAGATTCTGGGCGGGGGCAGGATCAGGCTGGTTCTTTTTGGGAACGTAAAAAGATACAACGAAGGAAGATACACAAAACGGACCATCGCTTGGCACGACTTGAGCGATGACCGGAGCAGTCATTTCTATCTTCTGATGATACTCGTTCTTCCCCTGAATGTATGCGAACAATCTGAATCCCCCCAAAACAATATTAAAAATTCAATCTTTATCCGAATAAATCAATAAAAGCGTTGTTCCATTCCAAAATATATTGAGAGATTGGATTATGCACTTACTGGAAGAAAGCAGTTCTGGTAGCATCGACGAGAGAGATGTCTTGAATCGGTTTAGTGGAAACCCAGACGGAGGTATTGTACCGGCGAATCTCATATCCATTTCCGGAGTGAACAAGGTCGTAGCTCGGGCACTCGATTCGGTTACAAGACGGCGGGAACTTCCCGATTTGGGCAGGTCCAGATTCGGCTCCGGGACCAAATAGGTCTGATCCACCGGAGAGGAGGCTGAGGAGGAATGAGAGCTTAAAGAAGCTTAAACCGGCTGCCATGGCGTCAAACTACTTGTTTCCTCGTTTTACACGGCCTTTATAACCAATGCTAATGTTACGTCTGAATGTGTGGTTCATCTTCGGATAGGTTTTGTGTGTTAAAAGGTTTGGAGCTTTTCTCATTTTGTGGTCTTGTTGTATATGTGTACGTCTATGAACCGTTTGTAACAGTTGTGAGTTTTGTGATTGCCACGGGTTACATAAAACAACCCCAAGGATTAAATCGTAATAAACGAAACCGCAGGGGGATCCTTTAGTAAAAACTTACACTACAGGGACTATATGTGACAACAAAATTACTAGAAGAAAGTAGAAAGCTATACACACTAAACTAATACACACACCCCCACCCGACCCGCAACAGTCCGTCCCGTTGTTGAAAACTCTGCCCATCAAGTGTTCGACGAAATGCCTGAAAGGAAAGTGGCTTTCTCAGACGAGTACTGACCTCCGGGTATTTATATTTGTTTATGAATCGAAGCAACGTTTGCATCTTTTATCTTTGAGATCTTCACATTTTGTTTCAGTTTTCTTTTCCAAACTGGATTTCTCTTCTAATATCTAACCTTTATGCGTTTGAGTTTGAAGAATCAGAATGCATTTAGAAGCATTATAGCTCAATTCTATACTTCATGAATTCACACTGAACCCTCTAGAAGTGTTTGTATATTGCTTAAGAAAATCGTGCATTACATGCTTAACCCATTTTAAATTTGTCTTGTTTAAACTCAATTTCGGGATTATGATGAAACATGTAATGGCTGAATATGAGACTAAGCATACTGCCCAGCTCTTAGCTGCTGGTGGTTCTCTGTGTTTCAAAATGATGTCTGCCTTACTCATCTGAATCTCTTCATTTTGTGCAATTCATTGACATATTCTTGTATCATCTTACCATGTTTAAAAAAAAAATATTTGACTTGTGTGATCGAATGTCAACTGTGTTTTTTTATGTGTCTTTAAAACTATATTTTCAGGGTTTTGTAGCTGTACGAACTGGGCAAAGCTTTAATATCCATCCAAAAGGAGAAAGTTCAAAGCACAAGAGTTGACAACGCTTAAAAAAACACAGGTAAACTTGTTTAGTTTTTCGTATTCAATGTATGTATGTTTTGTTCATGGCTTTCGAATGCATAGCTGTCTTCACAGAACGTAGTTTATAATAGATTGGAAAATCCTGAGACTTTCTATATTGCAGAATGTAAGTAGTCAATGATAAAGTTGTGTGGTTATTGTGATAAATAACCTATATGAATCAGATAAGTGGAAGAACAAGTCTAGTTTACTAATTCAGCTTCTTTGGTTCTTTTGATGTTTACATCAAATTTAGACATCTTCAAACCCTTTGACAATAATTTGTAGATAGATCATCATCCACACTCACAGCCACATATTTGAATGCTTAAATCAGATAACCTTTATACACAAATGGTTTCCAAATTCTCAGATTCAATAGCTGAAACAGACAGATGGTGAGATGATCATGCCTTCAGATGCTATTGCCTCTCACTGATGGAAAATGTGCAGAGGTGAAACCAAATACTCTCCCATATATACATATGGTTAACTGTAAAATGCAATTCCCCTATCTGAACACAATAAAATATGTTGTCCTAACTTAACGTGTACTTCTTGATAAATATGTGTAGTAGTGTGTAACGCTAATAAATATATCTGTTTCTTTATGAAACTCACAGATTTGGTGGAAAGGGAAAGAAAGAGACAAATGCTTTTGTCATGCTTACCACCTTTATCCGTTGAAAAATCTTTTCTCCACCGCAGACCCAGAAAATATAATTGTTTTCTTTATCCTTCTTGTTGTCTTCTTATAAAGAGATTGTAAAACACACAAGACATTCAGATTTAAGCTTTCTTCTTATATCTTCGAGGGGACCAGAGGAACCAAAGCAATATTCACATATATATATTCCTGGAAAGAGAATACTTTTTGGATTTCTCCATTTGAATGATTCTGGTGTTTGTCAGCCAACCAACATGCTCAGTTTCCAAGAAGAATGGATGCTTACAATTGTATCGTCATAATCTTCTGCATCGCCTTGTTTGCAATCAATCTAGTGTTTTCATGTTTCACTTGCTTCTCTATTCTCCACATCTTCATGACAGAGGAAAACAAGGATTTGACTGATCTCAGGAAGAATCTTATCGAGCAGGAAGAAGCCAATCCGGATGAGAAGGTAACGATCATTACAGTCTCGAGCAACCAAGGATTCTCTGACTCCATCGATGATGATTGTCGCCAAGATTGCTCCCATGAGGATATTTGTGCCTGTTAAAAGAAAAAGGCTGGCTTCTAGTTTTCATTACACACTTCTCCTCATGTTTTTGCAATTTTTTCCTTCGAATCCAAAATATTTTTTCGTTTGATTATGTATGTTGAAAGAAATTATACAGTCAATAAACATAAAGAAAAATAAATGGAGCTAGGTGCAAAAAAGGTTAAAAAGTTTTGTATTTTTAATACTTTTCTTGAATCAGTTTAATTTCCAAGGTTTATGTTTCTTTGGAGGCTGAGAACTAAAGGTTCCAGACAGGAAGAATAGAAAACAAATTCCATTCAGAGAAAGTAATAAAAAAGTTTAACAACGAAGTTGTTAGTTGACAAAAGTGACAATTAAGAAATTTTTTTAAAAAATATCAAAAATAAAAATCAAGGACAACGAATTTGTAATAGTGACATATTTCTGAAAAAAATGTCTTTTTGTATTGTTTCTTTCGTGAATAATTATATTCATGGTTTAATTGATTAGTTTGAAGTTAGATTACTAATAAACAACATTAGTCAAAACTCGTAATCCTTTCCACGAACTTGAAGCTTCGATGTATGCATTTAATATTTTATGCTCTAACCACATGTTACTTCATTAATTTTCTTAACTTTATAATTAAAATTAATAATAAATACTTATATAGTAGTTGATCGTATTTATTATGTCAAACATTTCAGTCGGTGGTTGTAAATACATAAAAATAATAAATCTGGGCCAAATTAGAAAATACGCGTTATCACGGGTCTGACAGCAAATACATCAAAAATACTTTTTGTTCTTCTTCCGAAATTGATTCAACGACTTTTGCAATCTCGATTTTGATTCAGAAAGAAGAGCGAGATCGATCACGATGGGTCAGGGAGAAGAAGATAAAAGCAAAGGATTTGCTCCGGAAGAAGGTAACCAGCATCACCATCATCAATACGGTACATTTCAAGGTGTTTCAAATTACCCTCCGCCGCAGAGCTCTGCTCCGGTCACTGGGTTTCCTCAACCTTCAGCTCCTCCTGGAGTTTACGATACCGGATCTCCTTATTACGCTCATGGTTATCAAACTGTTCCAGGTAGCTTCTACTTCCTGAATTCGATTGTGCGGTTTTTTTTTTTTTTTAGCCGATTTGGGAGATTTTTAGGTTTGGATATTTGTAAAACTTGATGACGATCATGAATTTTCTTCATAGGAGTATAATTTGATCATGGGATCGTGTTTTTGTTTAGCTTGAGAAACCAGCTTTGGGTTTGTTCATTGTTTCAATCAAAATGCTATTGAAAATGGAGAAACTTTGTTTCTTTTCTGTATTGCATGTTAGGGAAAGATGATCGGTATGTGAAAATCCAACTTCTGTGCCATGTATTGAGATGGAATATGATGTGAAATCTTTGATGAGAATTTAAAATTTTTTGAGCTTTGAGTACATTCTAGGAACAGCTCAGTTAAGAAGTTTGTGTGGTTGTAATGGTTTGTGCTATATATATATGATCTGTAAGGTAACTTCTTCTGTCGTATCTCCTTTTCTCTTCTGCCTGTTCTGCAGTTCTCATGTTTATTCTCCCTAATTGTTTTATTTTCAGTCCATGGTGGTGTTGCTGAAGGAAGACCTGTGACTGGGAGACAACGCCGCCTTCCTTGCTGTGGAATTGGTCTTGGATGGTTCCTGTAAGTTCCATCTCTTTCTACCTTCAAAAATGCAAGCTCATAAATCTTCTGAATCTATCACTCACATTGCTGCTACACTCATGTACCCTTGCTTTTATACATGTCCTGGTAACACAATTCATGCTCATTTGGTTGTTTATACATCCTCGATAAATTATTTTTTGGTCTTCTTATTAAAGGTTTGTAGTTGGATTTTTCCTTGGAGCAATCCCATGGTATGTCGGGTTGTTCATCATGATGTTTGGACGAAGGATCGATTACAGGGAGAAACCAGGATACATTGCCTGCACTATCGCTGTAATATTTCCAACATGCTCTCTCTCTCCTTAACTTTTCACAGTTGTTTACTCAGAACAAATTGAATTGATCCATGTCTAAACATTGCAGGCAATTCTTGCAACAATTGCTGTGATTCTGGGTGTATCGAAAGGAGCAGATGAGTGGTGATTAAACGATCAATCAATCAACTTGTCAGTTATTCTCAAAACGTTTGTATAGGTTTCTTTATCGTGTGTAACTGTGTTGTATTATCTACTTCCTTTTTCTATGTACTGGAGAAAGAAAAAAGTGTAAACTTCACAAAAATTATTTTGGGTTTTGTTATCTAAATAAGAAGTCAAATTTATGAAATTTAAAGACAAAGAGACAAAATGTGTGTGACAATATCGAAGATTGTTTATACATAAGAAACCTTTTACAATATGAAATGCAGTCTATCGTTTTCCAGAAACAGTTGTATTGTTGTGCATCCTCAATAAGTCATCAGGAGTTACAAGATACCAACCTCCATCTTTCTGAGCGAACAGCTTCTGATTCACTGAGTCTATAATCACACTCACGTTCCCAAACCCATATATCTGAAGCCCATTGTGCATTCTATTCGGTTTAGGTTTGAACAGCAACTCCTTCTCCTGCGCAAATACTTCCAACACTTCTTTCAAACTCAGCACCTCGGTGCTATCCATCTGAGCCTTAGCTTGAGGTCGAGGTTGAGGTCGAGGTTGAGGTTGAGGTTGAGCCTGAGCTGGCTGCTCATGTGCCCTTGCCCTTGGCTGAGACACTTCAACTCCTTCAACAGCTTCCATCAACATATCTAAACCACACTTTAACTGGATTCGGATTCTCTCGTTTGCTGAAAGCTCTTGAGGGAATAACACTTTCCAACCATAATACCATTCCTGGATCTCTTCGAACCTAGGTTTAGAACGCAACCAATGGTACAACACATCCAACCATTTGGGGAAAAAGAACCTCTCCATCAAATCAGCCATTAGATGTATGGGTACTGCAGATGCCCACTTCATAACCCAATGAAACCGATCTAAATTCTGGTCTGCCGGATTTACCTGAAACTCTTGCATAGCCAGCTGAAGTTTGGGAACTATGTAACGACGCATAAGCTGATCCCAGCTTCTAGCATCAAAAACGGTCTTCCATGGCGAAAGAATGGTGTAGACAGATTGATCACTAGGATGCCAAGCATCAAGAACATTACTCAATTTCATCTGAATGATCTGATACAGAAACTCCAACTTCTGACCAAGTATTGGCAACCAAGGATGCACCCAAACATGGATGGCAACACATTCCCTTTGTGGATCCCAATAATCAACAGCAGTTGACAATTTTGGTAGCACTACTGTGTCCAAAATAGTATGCAAGACAGATGAAGGCAGCAAATTTTCCCATGTCTCTAAAAACGTAAGCATCGGCTCGGGGTCTCTAGGTTCCCAGGAATTAATGCCTGCTATTCGCACAGCAGGTAAAACTACCTCTGAGACTAGTTGGCTATAAGGCGTTGAGACTACCCAGATATTTTGATCTTCCTCAACTTCCAATAGCTTTCTCCAAGAAGATATAGCCTTGAGACCATGCACTGCATCCCTAAGAGGATCCCAACCCTGAAACATTCTGATAAAGAGAGGCAAGGCCAATGAGCAAGCAATGGTGGACAGGTTACAAAGCTTATAATCATCAGGGTAGCTTGTTTGCAGGTCGTTGAAACGATTAGCAAGCGAGTCAAGTGTCAAATTTCCAGATGTATTCTCCAGCTCGATTCGACTTATTTCATCTGCGATATATTCCATGTTATCTAAGTGTCTTTTTTGTTTTTCCTCCTCCTGTATAAGCAAATCCTTCTCCTGCTGTAAGCTCAAGGCTGATTCTCTCTCGTTCCTCAAATCCCTATCAATCTTCTGAATTTCATGCTCAACTAGATCAACAATCAGGCGCAAGTTGTGTTGTAACTCCGGCATTGGAACATCTGCTTCTTTTGCTTTCTCTTCTGCATCTAAATTTTCCAAATTCGTCACAACCCGAACCTGTGGTCCTCGCATGTCAATAATGGTCTGCCCACCACCAAAACCCTCTTCCTGCTTCTTCTCTAACAACTCCTCTGCAGTGACATAAACTACCTTCCTCGCATTCTTCTTCTTCTTCCAAAGATTCTTCCCTCCTCTATCACCATGAATCTGTTCGTTCTCACTGACACTGACCCCAACAACCTTCTTCTCCTCAACCTTCTTTAAATCAGGCAACTTTGCCTCCTTGAAATCATTGTACCCCATACCCATATTCTTCGGCCTCAACTGTGCTTCAATTGGAGCAACAATACCTTGCTGATTCTTTCCAAGCCCACCTCCCTTATACCCCATCTTTTCAAGCAGCTTCATACCAATTCCTTTAGTAGACTTCTCAAACTTACCTATATCACCGGCTAAAGTATTCTTCTTTCCTCCCTTTGTACCACCACCCTCTTGGCCTCTCTTCTCCATCTTTGCCTTCCCTCTCATCTTAGCCCCATCAGCTATCTTCTTCCCCAGTGCACCCGGTAAAAGATTGTCCTCATCATCAAAACCATTCGAATTAAACCCTAAACCTAAACCTACACCTAAACCTGAGCCTCCAATACCCAATCCACCTCTAACTTGAACATCCTCATCAATCATATCAACATCTTCTATTTTCTCACTATTTTTCTCATCGGTATGTTCTCTAGTATCCTTATCAATCTCTTGGTTCGGCATTACCATACCTGTAGAGACAAAACTGACAGGCTTGGTCAAGTCGGCCTTCCTTCCCGAATCACGATCCTTACGCCTCTTCCTCCGGCCTCCTCCCCCGCTAGAATCGTCGGAATCGGAATCGCTCTCAGCGAAGACTCCGTAAGTAGCGTCGTGTTTGGTTTGTTTCCTCTTCTCCTTCCTCTTTTCGTACACAAACTCGTCACCTTCCCATCGACCTCCTTCATAGTCATTATCCATACTGAATCTCTCCATCTCTTGATACTCGTCCATGGCGAAGCAGCTAGATCCGGAGCTCTTGTAAATTTTTTCAAACTATCTGAGACAGAAGAATCAAAATCGAACAATTTATGGTTTTCGGATTTTATTTGACTCCAGATGGCCGACGTCGAAGCGTAGTATCATCGGAGAAAAGAGGATTCACCGACTTGGGCTTTTTTAATAAGAAAGGCCCATTTAGTTTTAAACCGGATCCCGTAATATTTCAGTTTCGTTGACTTGAGATTATGCGTCCATGGATTACTATTCACTACTGTTACTGTATACTTGAGTTGTTTGATAGTTGAATACTTGAATCGTGCATTGAGATGTGACCAGTGACCACCACACTTAATTTGTAACTCTTGTATGTTGCTGGGTTTCTCAAGTATTTCTCACTCAAAGGACTGTAGTTTGCTGGGTTTTTCAAGTGTTATTGGTTAAGTAATTATTGTGGTTGTGAGCTAAGTTATTACTTGGTTGAAATAAAATTTGTATGCATGCATTTTACAATAAACTTATAAAAAAAAACTGTTGAAAACGTTACGATTATCATTCAATCAAATTTGTGTACCACAATGTCTTACTTTGGTATCATACCACGTAGGTTTTTGAAGCCAAAAGCCTTTGGATCAGTGTATATATGTATGTATATGTGGCCCGATGTGGGGCTGTTGTTGTATTATCTTGTCTTCTAGCTGTTATAAGTATTGTCGTCTCGAATAGATATATGTTTTTGTTTATGCATCCATGGAGGAAGTATATGTTTATGCATCCATGATGAACCGTTGAGCTGTCGCTACACTTGATTGATCACTCTCACAACTTGTGGATTCTATCAGCATGCAGCTTTTGGTTAATAGAATTGTTAGAGATTATGAGATTTACAAAGTCATGATTTGCATTCAAATGGTGTATTATCCCTTTTTCTTTACTTTCTAAAAGCAAAACACTTAAGTGATCTTTTTAGACGGCACCGTCTTTCCCAATTTGCAAGTATAGTCGATCGATCTTCTCTTATATGTGTTATGTTTTTTTATTAACACATATAGTATTTCATGTCTCTGTCCTGATCTATAATATTCTCTTTTGCTGGTTATGTGAATTTCTCCTCTCTAATCGCTCTCTAGCTTATTCCAATTTTGTTATCCGATTATGTCGCTTTTTCGACCTCTTCCTTGTCAAATGTTAGGTTTATTCTCTTGTAACTTGGTATTATTCCCTTTGGCATGATGACAAAGATGCTCAAATTAAATTTTGCATGAATAGTAATGTGAATTTTGGAATAAATTAGTTGTTTCTTAAAAAAAATGTTTTCTTTTTATATACTCCTATAAAAGAAACATGTATACTGTATCTGTATGTTTTACTATCTAAAATTAAATTCGTTTTCTTTGGGGCAAAAACAAAAGTCAATAATTTGTAGGTTCACACAGTAAGTATATATGAAGTCAAGAGTTTTTAGGAACACTTAATTTTCTCTAACCAAACTAGTAGTTGTTATTGCAACAAATAGAGGAAACGTAATAAAGAAGAATAAATTATATTCTTTCTTCTTATTTTGCTGAACAAGTACAACAAAATCCCATTTTCTCTGTTACTACAAATCACATAAATTTGGGATATATGTTAGAGAGACTATTATATAACAACACACAAAGAAACAAACACCCCCACACACCTTTTTTAGATGTTTATAACAAATAGAAAAAGTCGGTTGTGACTGATTATGACCCCGACATTTAAATAAAAGAAATAATTATAGTTGGTTTTTTATTTCTCAAAAATCTTACGTAGGCTTGGACGTCATAATAATTTCATAATTCGACGCAAAAGCTACCATTGTTGTTACCTTATTGATATTAATAACTAAAAGTGTGTATTTCACACACATTTTAATATAATCTCACATAATATATTATATTGTATATATTTCGTACGTCACTTGATCTCGCACACCTTGCTTGAATAATCCAACTTACTTTTGTTAACCCATGAATAGACTTTTTTACTTTCTATCTATATATATATAGTATATAGTATGAAATAACTTTTGAGGTGTAGCAAAAAAATATGAGAATTTTTGAAAAATACCTTTTTTGGTGTACCTTTTTTAAAAATACCCCCTTTATCTATCCATTTTCAAAAATACCTTTTTTTAAATATAAAAAATTATAAAGTTTTATATGGTTTATAAGGTAATTCTATATAATAACTACTACTGGGAGATTCGATACAAATATTTTAAAATGTTTTAAATAGTTTTAAATCGTTTTTATAAGTTTTATAAGGTTTTTAAAAGGTTTT